GTAAATATACCACTGATTTTTTCAGAATATAATTTTTAACGAAAAAAAGAAAAAAAAATTATGATTTTTGTATGACGCTGTAGATCTCATTGAATCCGGGCTCCAAAAACTACTATATACCTCCAAGTTCTTCCTACCTCCAAGGTTCAAAATTCTAATTGATGACTCATATTTGTTAATGATTCCCCCTAAATTTGTTCGCAACAGTTCTCCCACCCCAAACAGGATTTAAGGTGAACGGTAAAAGCGAAAGGAACAATCAAAAAATGTTAAACGACTCTATTTGGATTCCAAACTAGTGATTAATTTTGAATAGGGGATATGCTTGTTCTCTCAATTTTATATATGTCTCAATTTTTCAAAAAATCTCATCAAAAATGCCACGTCATGTTTGGGGATTAGGAGACAAAAAGATACAAATAGACCATCTGTTGAGAGAGCGGATCATAAATAGGGGAGCCAGTGAGAAAGGGAGCAGCAGTTTTATTAGGAATTTGAGGATTCTGAGATTTTACAAAATTCGAAGCGTAGTGGGATTTTTGGATTCCGGAAAAAGAGCATTGTGAATTTTGGGAACTGTTTAATTTTATAGTACTGTTATCAGGTTCGTATGATTTAAGAGTTTCAGAATAACTTGAAATTCGAAGATTCTGAAATTTGAGAATTCTAAATTTATGGGAAGGGAACAATTAGAGTTTTGGCGTTTGGAGGATTCTGAAGTTTGGTTCTAAATTCTGAAGATTCAAGGATGCTAAACATTGAATTCTTCAATTTCGAAATTCGTTGATCTATGATTCTGAGACCTAGGATTCTGAGACGTTAGCTGTTTCAAATACAGTGATTTGGAATCTGATATGTTTTTTTCTAATCGGTGTTCATAGGGAACAAGACTGGACCACGGCCGGCTTCAGAATTTTGATTAGAAGACTTCTGGGATAGGTAGGATGAGGCGCCACGGCAGAACGTGTGGTTTCTGGGTCGCTGAGCTCAACTTCGGAAGAGCGGAGTTATTGGTCCATTTTCACATATCTTTTTAATTTTCTGATCATCCCAAGCATCCAAAAGTTGAAACTCAAAAGGACAACTGTCCGTTTCCCATTCCGAAAAGATGTGTCCTAATGGAAGTTAGTATGGTTAAGTTGAGCAAGAAAAAAGAGCCAGCACTTTGTACAAATGTACATACATTGATGATGAAGCAATTCGATCCTGTCATCATGTTCTTCCCCCTCCGAAAATTTGAACAAAAAAGTAAGGGATGGAAAAGCAAAAAGCAAACTGCTTCTCCTCCCGAATAAAGGGCGAAAAACGAAATGTCAATATTGTGATGATTTATGAGAAAAAAGGAGGAGCTCGTTCCCCCCAAATGATGATTACTTTTTTTCCTAACCCTTGTTCTGTTATTTTCTCTGCGTCTCTTCATCTCTAGCTTACCTGTTTAGCTTCTTTTCTCTTGTTCCGCAATCCTACCCGTGTTGCTCCTAACCAATTTATATTTGTTCTTTTCCCGACCGTCCCCTCCCTTTATGAAAACGAAGACATCGGTTTTTTTTGACTCGTGTATCTTCATTTTCTGTGTTTGTGTCTATGTGTCATACATGGACTTTCGAATTTCATGATTTTAAATGTTATGACAGGATTTGAGAATCCTAGAATCCTAGAACACTGAAGTCCTCGAAGCCTTGAATTTGGTAATATTGGATTTCATTGTTGGAATTCTGTTCTGGTAGCAGAATCGTCCTGTAACTATGTTCAGCCTACTTTTCTAAATCTCATCCTTCTTTCATTTTATAACCTCTTCTTCTCCTCATTTTGAAAACTTGTTTTACCAATTTGCTCAAATTGGTTCCTCCCTTTCCCCTCCATCTCAAATCCATCACAATCTATCCAAATCATAAAATTGCAACAACAGCCTCTTCCTTCCATTCCCGTTTCCTCTTGGTCCACTCCAATCTCTCTTTCTTCTGGACCTTTCTCATCATCATCGAAGCTCCGCCCACTTTTTCATTCCATCCAGTAATTCATTCGAGCGAGGAAGAGGCTCTTTCTAAAACTCGTTTCCTATTACTTTCGAAAGCGAGCTTCTCTAATGGGCGGAGCTTCTTTTTAACGTCTTCTGAAACGAAATAGTGGGCGGAGTCTATATCTTGAGTCTCTTGCCGTGTGTCTTCTTCTTCCTTTTCTCTCCTGTCTCTTTTGCAACAACTCATATTTTACCAGATCATATCTCGCCCCAGGTGTACCTGGCGCCGCGTCGTTTTTTTTCCAAAATTCATTCCAAGGCAAATAATTATCATCTCATTTGGAATTAAGAAGACGTTGACGTCTTCTAGTGATGAAAAAAACTCCTTCAAAGTGTGTGTTCATTAATTCAATTAGTGTTTTATCAATCATTCAAACAAATCATGCAGCAAGTAATTCAATTCATCGATTCATTTTTTGGCTTCTCTCATTTCTCTTTGATTTTTTTGATAATTCGAATTTTCTGATGGTTTATCAGTGATTTTGATCCGTTGTGAAAGTTCCTGTTGATCGTAGAAAGTTCCAAAAATCAAAAGTCGGCGAGCCACCGAAACTTATTATTGCTAAAAAAGTTGAAAACAAAACCATTACAGTTGATGACTATCTGGTACTGACTGACTCTAGTAAAAATATCATCTTTATGTTTGCTATTATAAATTTCAATGATAATTGGCTCATAATTTCATTATGAAATGGTCTATACCGTAATTCGAAATTTCATCATGAGATCAGGTTATTTACGTTTTCCCCCATTTGTCATCACAGAAATGATCGATTTCGAAATTTCGTCTTCTGAAAATTTATGAATTCATTTTAAACTGAAATTTCTGAACTTTCCAAAAGTTGGTTTTGAGCCTAATTATGACCATTTTCAAGCCCTGGCCGAAAAATCCAATTTTAGGCCGCTGTTTCAAAATTTCGCAAATCTGAAATTTTCAGTCTCCTAGCTCAACGTGTTGGAAGATATGAGGTATGGTACTCAACAACCCAACTACAGTAAAACCAAATCTTACGACACGTTGAGCTAAAATACGGAAGTTTTCAGAGTTGGAGTAAGAGAAATTATCGATTCAAAAATTTCCCTTTCCCGGAAGATTTTCAGAATTCCAGATTTCAAGGAATGTTCAAAAACAGAAAACCGAAGCTTTGAATCTTCTGGAACTGAGTTTTCGAACCTTAAATTTTTGTAAAAACCGGTAAAACTAAGTATGCTGAGCATTAGGATAGTTTGCTGACAAACAAAAGCTTTAAGAAATCAAGGGTATCATATCAAAAAGATTTCTGACCGATGTTCCAAATTAGGATCGACTTCAAAGTTTAAAAACATTTCTTAGATGCTCAGCAACCCAAAAAACCGAGAATCATCCATTTCATAATGACTCATTTTCCGTGTTCCACCTCTCTAATTCCCATCTTTCCTAAATCCTAAAAACACACACAAAAAGCCGAATACGAAATCTTCAACCGCATCTCGTACTTTTTATTCGATCCGATCTTTCTTCATTCTCTCCTTGAATTGCAACACCACCGTATTCCTCAAAAAGCGATAAATACATACACTGCCACACACCACTTCACCCCAAAATTTTTACCGATTCTCATCTTCCTGTCATTCCAACGAAAGTCGAAGACTCAGAAAAAAGACCGCCTCACTCATTTCTAGATCAATTTGGCAGATAAATTTTTACAAAATTTCTTATTTGAAGATGGGTTTTTCTGACGAGTCATCATTCACATCTTCTGTCTTCGAAAACTTCAAACAACCTGTAGAAATCAGTTTCTAGTGATCCTCCTATCCTAGCAAAAGAAGATCCAAAGTAATAAAAAATTTTGATAATAGCCTGGTTTTTCCAGGTCCCATCTTCTTCTTCTACATCATTTTCCTCATCTTCTTTTTCTTCCACATTGTCCCATCATCATCTCATCTTTCTAATATAAATCGTTTTTGTCGGGTCCTGTGTTGTTTTGTCCCCTCCCACCAATATTTCGCTCTCCGGGTTTTTGCCCCTCTTTCTTTCACCCCCAGGCTCCCCGCACAAAAACCCGCAGTCACGTCCATCATTACTCTTTTGCCCCTCCAACAGATATGCTGGCAGGGCTCTTCATGAAGATGATGAGAATGCTTCGAGAGCAACAAGATAATGTTGAAATCGTTCCTTTGATGGGTTGGGGTCTCCAAGATCTGCTCTGAGCCGTTGGGATCTGAAACTTTTCAGAAAGCTCAGAATCCTTGAACAGGGCGAAAAAGATAGTCCTATGGGGTACGCCCTCTAGTAAGGTTCCAGAACCTAGAAAATTCTAGTAGTTTTCAGAGCAGCAGTTTTGATTTGTACCGTACATGATTTGTAGTTAAAGTTTGTAGTTTGTAGTTTTTTTTTGCATTTACAGTTTGTAGTTTATAATCATTTGCAGTTTCAGATGTCTCGTTTTCCCTCCTTGCAGCTTGCTTCAATTTGATAAGTATCGATCGCGAATACATCTCTTTTCATGGTGTTCAGAATTTGTTCTTCTCTGAAATTATTCTGATTTTACTAACCATTCGAGCAAGACATTCAGGATTTTCAGATTCGATTCTTGAAAATTTCTAACTCCTTTGTTCCTTCTGAACCTAGTTTACAGTTTCCTCAATTTCAAAACCAATTTTCCCGAAAACGAAAAATCCATTTCCGAAATACAGATAAGTCTTTTTTTCACAACTCATTTTTCACTTTAGACCATTTCTCGTAACCTCACTTTCCAAAACTTTTCGTTGCCCAAAATATGATGAGCAATGTTTTATTAGTTGACTGCTTTATGATAACTTTTAAAAGAGCAGAGATAAGTCAGATGAAATGGAGGACTCATTTTGGTGTCATATCGTTTCTTTATCTCTCCTTAAATTGTCTTTTCTTACTGTTGCCGGATTCTCGCAATCATATTTGTTTTGTTTCAAATTTTGGCTTTTCTAAATTGCTCTTTTTTCAGACTTCTCATCATCCAAAATGAATGAGCTGCTAGCCGAAATGGCCGCGGTCTCATCCAGACGGAAACAGATGAAACCGAGGAGAATGTCCGGTGGTAAGTGGTAAAAAGTGCAAAATCGGAACTTTCATCATTCAATGTCTCATTTTTCTTTTTCTCCGAGAAACGGTCAAAAAATTTTGAGTGAAAACAGGCAAATTTGGACGTCGCGAAGCGCGCACACCGGGGGACATTAGGAGGTAAAACAGAAGAAGTGTTTAATGAAGTAAAGAATAAAAGACAAGAGAAAGAAACATGAATTTTGCCTCTCATTTAAGGAACATGACGAAATAGTGTATTGATTGGAGAGAGTCGGCTAGAGGTACGAGAATTGCTGATGATGCGCCGCCAGCACCCTCCTTTTTTAGTTCCCTCACAACGCTGACCTTGGTCGAACTTTTCGGGTGTGAGACAAAATATATTTTTTTGGTGTTTCGTTATATATGACAAGAGAGAGAAAAGACATGTTGGAATATATTAAAACATGACAAAACATTTGAAGAAAACTGGTAGAAGACGTTGAAAAATGTTATTGGTAGGAGGAGAAGGAGAATGATGTTTAAAAGTTTTTTTTTTCGAAATCTAGGGGGTGCTGAAAATATTAAGAAACTTAATATCGGCTTGAACTACAATGGAGGTTTTTTTAGAAACTGATAAAAATTTCAAAAGTCAAATTAACCACAAAAGCAATAAAATACCGGATTTCCTCTATTGGAAGCCCACACCAAACCATTAACTTTGAGTTGAATTATCTCGATTCCTGTAAGATATATCAATACATTGCCAACTAATAAATTATTGATCATGATGCCACCAAGTTTTTATTAGTTGACAACTTCTTGATAATTTTTACTGAAACCGAGATAAATCAACTCAAAGTTAAAAGTTGGGAGTGGCATTCAATCTGAGTGTTTACGGTTGAAAACATTTTTCAAAAATGGCCCGACACTTTGAGCTCTCTTTTTTTCTGAATTTTCAAAGTCATTTATTCTATAATTTGAATTCTAACTGAACTAAAAGATTGAACACACATACTTTAAAAAACCTGTCGATGACAAAAAAATTTCTCTTAATTTTTTTTTCCCAGACCTTCATCTCTTTGATGTGTAAAATCTGTGGGTTTTTTATGTTAGCTGTTCGACAGACGACAGTCATTTATAATATTCTCTCTTATCATTCGATTTCTTCCTCATAACCTAAAAGATGATGAGGTGAAGAGATGGTAGGATGATGATGATGATAAGTGTACTTTTTGAAATCATAACATTTTGAAATCCCTTTCTATTTGATTTTGGAACTTTCGTAAAAATTCGGGGAGGACTTAGGCTATTGTATGAACTGCGACATTTTTGAATGTCTAGTTAGTTTGACCCCAACTTCCTCTTTACATCCAATAATTTCTTGCATGCTTCATGTTCTCAAATGATAACAAATTCTTATCGAACTCCTTCTTTCATAACCTCTCAAAATTGAATCCACCGTAGTCCTGTGTCTGGACCCTCTCAAAAGTGGGAGAAGAAAAAGATGACACACTTATTATATTTCTTCATCTTTTTCTCTCTCCGCATCCAGAATTTCTCACTCCGCCCATTCTGTCAATTTTCCATCCAATCATAAGCGGGGAGAAAAAGAAGGGAGGGGGAGAGAGCATTTTGAGAAGGCGTCAAGGAAGAATCGTTCCAGGTTTTTGAGAGATAAGAGGGACAAACACACAGACAGACAAGAAAGAAAGAATAAGAAGAGAAAGAGAAGGAAGAGGATGAACAAGTGCAAGGTCGTTAGGATGGGAGGAAGAGCGGGCTCAAAGTTCATGTGCACTTAAGTCAAACGATCGAGAAAATAGATTACTGTAGGAATATGAGATGGTGGGAAAAATAGGAAATCTCTACACTGTTTAGTAAATTTATAGTTTGTAGTTTCACATTTTTTGGTTACCTCAGATTTTCAGAGCTACTTGTTTTGAGCACTTATCTAGTACTAGAAGGACAGTGCTACTATCCGAATATTTTGCACAAAAAAAATGAAACCATTTTTTGTTTGGAAACTCATCCTATCATCATTTTCAATATCATCTATCGAAAAACACACGACTCTTCCATCCACAAATCATTTTTTGTGACGAACAAGTGCTCATCTGTCTTCCTGTGAAGCAGAAAAATCTTGAGACTTCTACCTCTTCTTTTTTTTCCCTCTTATTGTCATCCATTTGTTAAAAACCGCCCATTATATTTTCTGCTCGTTAGTGCCTTCTTATTTTCATTTTTTCGGTCGTTACAAGTTTTTTCTTAAAGTCCTTCTGCCTGTATTGTTGGCTAGTTATGACTGGACCGGAAATGCTCTGCATTTTCATCTCAATTATCTCGGTTCTTTCAAAAGATATTTAAAAAAGTTGTCAACTGATAAATTATTTATCATAATATCAGCAGTATTTCATCAGTTGACAGATTTTTGATATCTTTCTCAGGAAGAGAGATAATAAGGCTGAAGGATAGAGTGGCGCGTCGCTGAGCATCGCGGAAGGTATGCCGGCTACTCATCGATGGTCACTATAAGGTTGGTGTAGTTGATGTTTTCACTGCTCAGCAGTTCAGAAAGTCTTCATAAATGTAGTGTTTGTTCAACTAGTTGAAAGCTTCTCAAAATTCTGAGTCCGATTCTTACTGTGCGTTTGATTCTAGTTAGCAGTCCCAGAATAAGAATTGCTTTGAATTTTCCTTTTCTTTTGCTATAAATTCTGCAACTCTTGTTGTCAAAGATTGTGTTGTTACTGCTGCTCCGCGAGCCTCGCCCCGCGTCCTGGACCGTCATAAAATCGAATTTATGATCGAACACAAAGAAGAAGAAGAAGACGTTGTTGTTGCGATTTCTTCTTCTTCTCCAGAATCCAATGAGTTTCTTACGACTCGAAACTCGATCATTTATTATAGTGTTTTTGTGTAATCAAGAGATTCAGGAGAGATAGTGTTGATTTTCGAGAGATCCAGACACGGATGGATATAGGGATATGAATTGGTGTGGCGATTGGGGTGGGGCTCCCGGGGAGTGAAGAAAATTGAAACATTATGTTTTGAGCGAGAGTGTGTTTGTCACGCAAAGAAGAGATCACCCATTCTCTCATATATTTTATGGATTTTTGAGAGTTTTGATTGGGAAGTGAGGGGCTGTGAGGGATGTCAGATAAAACAGATAAAAAAAAAAAGAGACTAGGAGGAGGAGATTCAGAATCATTTTTCGCAACAATTTAGAAGAGAAAAGAAGAAGATAACACTCATTAACTGGACTCACTTTTATGAGGATTCTCAGTGACGAAATGGAGAGAAAAAGCAATTATTTCTGTGATATCAAACCAACTGACTCGACTGACTTTTATTTTTTGATTAAAAATGAGTAGTTGGACACAAAGATATAGGGAAAGGAGTGGATCATCAGTAGTAGATGAAGAATGGGTAGGAAAAGTTATTTTTGACGGACTTGGAGTGCTTGGATTTCAGGGTAGTGTGCCAAAACACTTGAGATACCTAAAACTGAAATAAAGTTGCTTCTATATTCTTGGATTTTCAAAATTTGGATTTTTGCTATTTTTGAAGATACTGTCATGGAGTATTTCAGAAGCAGACATACAGTAATCCTGGATTATTAAAAACTCGGATGTCAAGCACCACATCCTTCAGATATTATATTTCAAGAGAATTTTTCAAGTTCATAAAACTTTTTGCTCTTTCTGCGCATGACTCTCGCCTTATACAAAATCAAAGTTCAACAAATTTCTGAAACTTGCGAACATTTTTCCAGTTTTCAAGAATCCTAAAATAGTGTGTAGATTTATTAATTTTCTAAATTGATTTTTTCATTATTTTTTTCATATTCTAAACATACCGTAAAAGCTGTAATAGAAGGGCCCCTGAAATTTAACTTTGAGCTGATTTATCTCAGTTCCTTTAAAAGATGTACAAATTTTGTCAACTTATAAATTATTTATCATAACATCACTATCATTTTATTAGTTGAAAATGTTTTAATACTTCTCATAGAAACCGAGATAATTGAGCTCAAAATGTAAGCTTCTATTAGAGCATTTACAGTAGTTTTAGAGACGCTTTGAACTCTTCCAGAACGTTCCTAAATCTGATATTCCAATTTTAACATCACTCCTCAATTCCTTCTTCACCTCCTCCATCATTTCGACGACGTTATCATATTTACAGTAACCCCAATCACTTTTTTCTCTATACAAATCATCAATTCTTCTTTTTTCCCTCCTCCAATACAACCATCACTTGTCTCTTCGTCTTCCATCAACTCGAATTAGTTGTAATATGCGGAAAAGTTAATCAAATCATCATGCCCTTTTCCTCACCGCATTTTCATTATTTTTTTTGTGATTCGTCGTCAATAATCAATCTGTCGGTTCTTTTTCTTTTTTTAAACCTCTCCTCCCCCTCATTTACTTTTTTAATCTAATGTTTAATAGAGCGTACTTAACCTTTTCGGTCAACCATTTGATTCTTTCTCGAAACGTCGTTTTAATTTTGGCCAATTATGGCTTTTGAAACTCTTTTATTCGTTTTTTTTAACGCTCGCAACACCGTTTTCTGAATTCAGATGGTAAATAAGAGGGACCGATTCTTTTTCTTTCTTCTTTTCATCGTCATTTTAATGGTAGACTTGAAGGGGAGATTCACGATTTGAGATGTTGCCGTTTTTATGATAGGTCATTAAAAAATTATTTTTGGCGGTGTCTTCTCCTTCTTCACAAGTTTTGTTTTTGGGGGACGAAACTTTACAGTAGGAGTTTTTGAAATTTTGGTCTTTGGTTTGGTGGAAAATTTTCTAATTTTATACAGGGCAATCTGCAATTTTTAACTATTCCAGTCATAGAAAATTGTATGGTTCCAAAAGTATCCTAAAACTCAAGGTTAATAGTCAAAGCCTCCTTAAAACCCTAGAATCTTCGAGTCCCTAATCCTACCGTATCCCATATCTTGCTCTTTCTGCTCCTCTAGGGACTCTCATTATCTATCATAACTTTTCTCAAGATCTCTTCATCCCCCTCTCTTCATCCCCCTCTCTCTCTCTCTCTCTCTCTCTCTCTCTCCATCAATCATAATCCTCGCCCCGCTTGGCTTCATAAATAAGCTCCGCCCCCTTTTTTCGGAACATCCATTCCCCCTCTCCACCCAATTGGAAGGTGTGTGTTCCAAATGGATTACGGTAATAGGAAATGAATTTCCTTCCGGATCATTTAAAAAAAGAAGTAGAAGAGATGAAAATTATCCTTATTTATTGAAAATGTTGCGAAAAGCGAGGAATTGAGACAGGTTCCGAACCCATAAAGCCACCTCCTCCTCCTTCTTTTTTTCCCTCCATCCGACACATTAATGGTTAAGAAGAATAAAGAGAAAGACGATGTTCTCTGCGTCTCCAGAATCCATACGCTATTTCCAGAGACGGCATCTGACTTTTTGTGTGACAAAAAGTTAACGAGCAACCGATGTCAAACTGTGTATGTGTGTTTGTTGCGATTTTTACGACTTTTGATCGGTAGGAAATAGAAGAGGGGATTCCGAGGGGAAGAAGGCGTGCATAATTTTCATCGCGCCCCATTTGACCGATTTGATACACATTAAAAATACATATACACACAAAAACTTTTTTTGAGAAATAGAGGGGAACCGAAATGGGGGCGGAGCCCGAGATCATTAAATTGTGATGATAAAGAGATACTAAATGGTTTTATTCTTTTTCGGAAACACCAACAACAAGAAAACTTTAATTTCTAGAAAGAACATTTTCAGAAGGTGATGCGATGATGTCCCCAATCGATTTATCGACAAAGAGTTTCGATGAAAATAATTGTGAAAAATCGGCACTTCCACTCGAGGATCGCTCCAATATTCTACCACATTTTCCAGTGCCATTCACTAATCCACAACAGGTATGTATAAGGAATTTGGTTTTATGAAATTTAAAGATTAGAGATATATTCCGGTATCCTAGAGCACTTGACTTTCCTATTTAGTATATAGAGTCCTGAACTTCTAAGATCCTAGATGGTATGAATTTAATTATTATCGATCTCAGACAATAGAAATTTTTCTGATCCTTCAACCAATAAATTTCAAATCCTAAACGGAAAAAAAATCCTAAAGAATTTAGATTCGGGAATTCTCAGACACACAGAATCTTTAAATCTCAAATACGCAGATCTCAGAATTTATTCGAAAGCTCAGAATTTTACAATCTCTGAATCTCAGAAATTTCGCTTTTGCCAAACGCTCGAATTTTTAGAATTTCAGAATCTCAAAATTTCAAAATTTTAAGTTTTTTGAATCCCAGAACTCCCAATAACTTCCAATAATCCAAAACCTACGAGCTTCATCGTTAAATTTCTTGAACTGAAAAAATCTGAATTTTAGCCCCATGACCCAATCAAATCTGTCTTTTCTGTTTACCCTCTCCCCTTTTTCCATTTTCCCAAACTCATCAGAATTCCATAAACTCCCAAATTTCTTCTCATCAAAAAACCAATCATTTTTTCCATCTATTAATAGGTTTTTTTGTCTATTTTACTTCACAATGTTCACATTAACCGTCCTTGGCATCTTCAGTCTAATTACAGAAATTTTGTGATCAATAATGAAGTAAAGTAATCGAATTTCCCGAAAAGTTCCCACACCCAAAATTGTTCGAAATCATTTTGAAATAGGGGATACTGTAGTTTTAAATATGTTGATGGCTCAGAAAGTATTGTTCTGGAGTCTATAGAAAAAAGCAAACGCCTTCAGAATAATACATTTCAGTTCCTCTCGTTATGCGCTCAACTCGGGAATTCCACATCCAGTAGGAACGTGTCCTCCACTGCCTCGACCACTTCATCCTGCCCAATTCAGTCCTGCTCCCAAGTAAGCTCCGCCCCATTCTCCCCCTCCAACTGACCTCGCAACACCTACCGTAACCATTTGTGCCAGCCATAACTTTAATGGTATTATTTTGGGGTCGTCATTCAGACTGTGAGACCACTTTTTTGACAAAAGAGACACTCCTAAAAACGAGATGTTGCGATGGTTGGGGACGAAGAAGACGTTGACAAAAACCAATAAAAATGAAATTACTGTATGTGTCGATGCATGCGCAATAGGCAAAAAGATACAGAGAGAGAAAGAGAGACCCCCATAATTTTCGGTATGAAAAGAATTGTAGTATGGGGGTGGAAAATGAGAATGTTGCCGAAGAATAAAAAAACGTGCAGGAAACTGGTATTAAAATCAAAAGAAAGGGACTGAAAGAATACCGTAACCCATTTTTTCAAATTTGCAGAGCTTCTCCTCTGCTGCAGCGCTGACGTGGCATGTACTGGATGCTCATGAAGATGAGCAGGAAGTATTTTCGTGTGACGGATGTGGTACGACATTTTCCAATGGTCAAGATGTAAGAGACCACCCCTTAATGAAACTAATTCACCTACACATTTCAGATTCGTGAGCACAAATGCTCCAAATCCGGTGCATCACGAAGTTCATCTGTCCCACCATCAACCGTACCTTCTGGAGCGTGTTTTTTATCGACTCCCACCACGCCTTGTCCTCAATTCTCAATAAACGAATCGATCGGAACGTCTTCTGAGATTCGGGACGAGGAAGAGGAAGAAGATATGGATTCGGAGGATAATGAGCAGGTGGCAAGCCAACTGTTCGGGCAGTTGCTACAGAAATCCGACGATCCAAGAGCCAAAATATCGAGTCTTTTCAATAATGCACTACCTCAATTTGCAGGGTTTCCAAATGTGCCACCCCATTGTAAGTTTCTTTTCCAGAAGCTTCTACTATTCTAGTAATTTAAGTTTTAATGCGACAACCATTCGATCCGAGAGCTGAAATCTTTGCAAGTCGGCACGAGAATGACGACGATTGGGAAGCTCTCATGGAAATCTCCACTAGTGACGAAGCTGAAAAGATTCGAGCTTTAGTTGGCGATAAAGCAGTTCCTACCACTGACCCCAATCAATGCATTCTTTGTCGACGTGTCTTATCATGCAAGTCTGCTCTTCAAATGCACTACAGGACACATACTGGAGAACGACCTTTCAAGTGTAAAATCTGTCAGAGGGCGTTCACAACGAAAGGAAATCTGAAGACGCATATGGGAGTGCACAGGTCGAAGCACTCGTTCCGAGGCCTTCCAATCTCCTTGCCTCCTCAATTGGCTGCTGCTCATCAGATGCCTCCAAGACTACATATTCAGACTCCACCGACGTCGGCTGCGGCGGCCGCGGCAGCTGTGGCTCAGATTCAATCACAGGCTGGACAACAATGTCCCATTTGTCAGCAACGGTTAATGAATGCGCAGGAGATGGCTGTGCATATTGCGGAACATCGGAATTCATTGACACAGCCGCCAAGGGTGATGCCGTCGCCGCAAACTAGAGTACAGTAAGCCTTAGAATCAAATTTGTGGGTATAGTGGGGAGATTGGAATTTAGGAGTTCTTGAATTTCGCATCACTGAAATCTAAGGTTCCTCAGATCTGGATTGATTAAGGCCCAAAACCTAGAAGCCTAGAATCCTCAAATCTCTAGGATCGAGGATCCATATCCATAGAGTCATGGAGTCAAGGATCTTTCAGGAGTATTTAGGATTGAGAACTTCAAAAAAACAAAACTTGTGATTTATGCTAAATTTGAGGTTTTCGGCGTTCTCTAGGTTCTGTTCTTCTGGAATCATCAGGATCAGAGAATCAAAAAATTCTGGTTCTCATAAAAATGAAAATCTAGACTTTGAGAAAATTGTGAATCTAGAATCCAGTTTCATAAAACTTTGCCACCCATATTACACTTTCTCGTTCTCATAGAAACCAATAATTCAAAAAGTCTCAATTAGTTCCTCTTTTCCAACCTGTCGGAACCCAAACAAAGAATTCTTTTTATCTTCTTCGTTCCCCCATTTCCTCTCCCTACCCTCTCTATCTCTCTCCTCTTCTAATTTCTATTTTTTTATCGTTTTGTTTTCTCTTTACAGAACTTTCCCATTTGTTCCTTTCTTCACACCGCCCTCACTCAATGCCACCGACATGTCGACGCAGTTCAATTTGGCTAACATCCTTTCTGCTCAACTCAAAAACGACTCATCACCCAACACAGACACATCCAGTGTTGAGTAAGTGTATATGCAAATGTGCTCCAATAAAAATTCTAATACAATTTCAGAGAAAAAGTAATCCGAGATGATCCACCGAAAATGGCCTCCCTATCACCATCGAACAGTTCGGAGAGCTCTTCCTCCGTTCGTCAGGAGACTCTAGAAGCGAATGAGTTGGATGGCAAGAAGTACGATGAGCCTCCAGTTCTCGAGCAACAAGTCTCACCAGCTCCACCTCCGACGAATTCGAAAAACGAGAATCCATTGTTAGCGATGCAGAAGATGTGGGCGGAGACAGAGCCACCACCGCCAAGAGCCATGCCTGTGCTGTCCAAGCATCAATGTGGAGTGTGTTTTAAGCATTTCAGCTCGAGCTCTGCACTTCAGATTCATATGAGAACGCACACAGGTTAATGTGACTTTCATAGCCTAGAAATTAAAATATACATAGAACTCCTTAAAAGTCTTCAGAATCTAGATCTAGACAGTTTGGAAAATTATTGAATAGATTAACAGATTCTAATTTCAGGAGACAAACCATTCAAATGCGAAATGTGTGGTCGCGCCTTCACAACACGTGGCAATCTGAAAGTCCATATGGGCACCCACTCCTGGCAACAAAGTCCCTCACGCCGTGGTAAGTTTTGCAACCCCCGATGCATCCATATCTCTATCCTAAAATATAGATACTTCAGGACGACGAATATTCGATGTGGCCACCGGCGGAGGGCCAGCTAATGAGAAACCAATGATGCCAAACCCCATTCTTGCCAACGGTGGTGGTCCAGGAGCATCTCCATTGGCAATGCTAGGACCAAGTGGAATATCGGGTCTTGAGATGATGATGATGTTGTGGAGGACAGTTTGTTCGGTGTGTCAGAAGGTTTGCACATCGCCCACTGAGCTGGAACAGCATTTAAAGGAGCATCTGAGCAATGGGAATTCTAAAACACCAATTCCATCGGCAGCAACTCCACCACCATCCTAGTTTTTAATTTTTTTTTCAAAATCCGTTTTCCCCCAATTACCTGATTCATTCCTTACCTGTAAACACTTTTTTCTAATTTCTCTCTCACACTTTTCTAATTTTTTTTGGGTTTTCACAGCCCGTTAACGTTTTCTCTCTTCAAATCTCTTTAAAATGTATGGTTGAATTGGGCTAGTCGCTTTAATTGTGCATCACATCCGGTTGCTTCACCCAATGGTCTCGTCTCCCTCTTTAATAAAAGTAATTTCCCATTCTCCGAATTCACCCCAGTTTTCTTTTTTTTTGCCCTCCCTCTGAAATTATCTCTGAAATACTCTCACTCCCTGAAAATCTTGGTGCTTTTTCAAAATCTCTCTTTTTTCCCAATCGATTCTGCCCGTCCCTTAAATGCTTCTCATTTCTATATCTCGCATTCTCTTTCTCCTCCCCATTTCTCATTTTTATCCATTTCTTGTTGTGATAAATTTTATTTATATAAGAATGAAAAAAAATGCTACAAAAATTGAAAGCCGAATCCCCCCTCCGAAATCAAAAATCTCCGTTTTTCTTTTCCTGTGTAATCATTTTTCTTCCTTCCCCTCAATTTTTTTTCGCATTTTTAAAATCAAGTTTTTAGCACTTGTGTCAAAATGAAAAGTTTTGCAATTCTAAGAATTTCCTCTGGAATGAAATCTATTTGATTACACCAAACATCTAACATTTACAGATTCAAGAGGTTCTGTTTTTTTGTATAATTCTGGAAATGTTTTGAAATCCGGAAACTTTGAAATACTTAAGATTTTGTACTGGAATTCAGGGATTTCAAAGATTCTGAAGATATCAGAAATTTCAGAAAACCGTATGAAAAACTAAAACTTCATGCAATTACTGGGCTTTTTAAAATTTTGACTACCATATCTGCTCTAGAAGATCTTTGATTTCTATTATCACAGTTCCTATGAGAGTTATAAAAATCTATCAACTGATAAAATATTGCTGACATGATGATTAATATTTTATCAGTCAACAGATTTTATATATCTCCTATATAAACCGAGAAAGGGGGGCATCAAATAGAGCAAATACGGTATGTGGATTCTGGAGGATCTTTGGACCCTGAAACTTTTTGATTAAGAATTCTGTGTTTGATGTCAATTATTGTGTTGTCTGCTAATATTTGATTTTATATTCCAGAACATCCTTCTGGAACATTATCCATACTTTCTAGAATCGTTGAAGGCCCGGCGCAGCCCGGCCCGGGCCTTGATATATTTTGAAGACCCGGCTGGGTATTTTTGGTCGAAATTTATCAGAAAACATTTATTGATACATTAAAAAAACATTTTAACAAAAAATTAGTTTTTGAGAAAAAAACGTTATTTTGCTTCAAAAATGCAATTTTCCGTCCGATCCCACCTCCGGAAAAAGTCAGAAAAATTCTGTTTAATCATTTACAAATTGAATATTTACAATTTAGCTTAAAATTAGATGATAAAAACAACTTTTTTCCAAAAAAAACAAGCTTTTTTGCCTAAAAATCAGAGATGGCGCCAACTGTCCGTGTCTTCCGGGCCTCCTGACAAACTTTTTGAAGGCCCGGCCGGCCCGTCGCAAGTATGAAATTATCCTTTTCAGAGGAGACTACTAGATCTTAAACGAATCCTAGTTGAACCTGTTCCACCACATAATGAGAGGAGCCGTTATTCTTAAGTTAAAATGTTTTCAGATTAATGGTTTTTGAAGTTTTTGAGATTTACTAGGGAATGACTCACAGAAGATGTGGAGTTATGGGACGAGACCTATATCATTCGAAAGAGGATGAAATTTCATTTTCAAATATATGCTCAGTTTTTGCGGCGGCCTCCGCTAACTCGAGAAATTTAGGTCAGAAGTTTTCAGTAGATTTTGCACTGAAATGCATACGTGAACGCTTCCACGTCCTCATTTCTTTTATACGCTTTGAAGAACCATTGAAAACAGCAGTGGGATGGTTCAGTGGTAAAGCGGCGGGATGGGGAAATGGTACTCTATGGTTCGACTCCTTCATAGTCGAAACTCTTTTTTTATTTTTTGTTGGTTTTTTATATGACCTGTTTTTGAGCTCAAAAGCTGTTTTCAGCAGTTTTCCATACTCTAAACACCTTTGGCATCTTGTCAAATACAAATTAACCAAGTTTTTGGAAAAAAAATTTCTGAAGAAAATTCGCATGTTTCCCGCCAAGGATAAAAAAATCGGAAAATTTGAAAAGAGGTGTATGGATCATGAAAACATGCGAATTTTCTTCAGAAATTTTTTTTCCAAAAACTTGGTTAATCTGTTAATCAGATTAACCTTCTGCAGATTAATCATCCCACTGCTGTTTTCAATGGTTCTTCAAAGCGTATAAAAGAAATGAGGACGTGGAAGCGTTCACGTATGCATTTCAGTGCAAAATCTACTGAAAACTTCTGACCCAAATTTCTCGAGTTAGCGGAGGCCGCCGCAAAAACTGAGCATATATTTGAAAATGAAATTTCATCCTCTTTCGAATGATATAGGTCTCGTCCCATAACTCCACATCTTCTGTGAGTCATTCCCTAGTTAGTTGTTCCAAACGTAGATCTTTTGTATACCTGCCGCTGACCCTATCTTTCCAGGAGCACACCCTCATCAAGGTATAGTGGATGGCCTAACCCGTGAAACGTCGGATGCTCTCCCAGACACCCCTATATAAGTGAACTCCCCGTTTCGTGTATTTGTTCTTCCGAGAACATATACCAAAGTTGGAACAATAAAGATAAAAGTAGCAGGTTTCGGCCCCTGCTCTGCGACAGGATAGGATGACACCCAACTTTGTGAGAGTTCAAAAATATTTTGACTGATTTCGATTTTTTATTGGATTTTTACATTTGGAAAGTTATTTCTCGGAAGAACATCTCTCAAAACGATTCATATTTTATCTCTTATCATTGACCTATACCCGTTTTCAATCAACTACCGTAATCATTTTTTTCCACCGATGGAATTCAGAAGTCGTCACCCAAAATAATTGTTGCGACATACAACACACACTGAAACTTTATGACTAATAAAATTTTTATATTCCCACTTTTTTTTCGTTTCCTTCAGATACCAATCTCTCTTCAGTGTATCAATGAATTGAATCTTTTGTGTGATTCATAAAAACGAAGCATCAGGAAAAAAAAGTAGTTACAAAATGATGATTACAATTTTTTTTGGAGAGATGCGGCGGCACTTCTTTTTGAAGTACCGTTTTTTATTTGATTTTTATAGATGAGTGGAAGAGGAATATCATAAAACCATCAACTACTGTAGTTGATAGTTAGACGAAAATAGTATAAACAGCAAAAAAAGAGACTTTGGGTCTCGAAAGAGTTCAAGGGACCTGGTAGTTTCCAGATGAACTGCTCCGCGATGTTGGTTGTAAACGACAGTAGGTGTTGGCATAGCTGACTCAAAACTCGCAAAACTATTTGGAACTTTTCACGAATTTGGGTGTCATCATGGCGCGGAGAAGGGGCCGAAACCTGCAACGTTTATCTTTATTGTTCCAGTCTTAGTGTATGTTCTCTGAAAAACAAATATGTACATGAAACGGGCGGTTCACTTATACATACATATAGAGGTGTTTGGGAGGGCAGCGGACATCTCACGACTTACGCCAGTCACTATATCTTGATAGATGAGGGTGTGCTCCTGGGAAGATTTGTCAACATTTTTCAAAATTTTATTCTGAAAAATGAAAAAAAAATATATTAGAAATATAATGTTGTGGCTGCAACTGTAGACTTCAAAAACTATAAGTAATCTGAAACTTTCATCGTCGATCCTGAAGAAATTGATACATACAACTTAATTTATCAAATCAATGATAAAAGAAGAATTGTGAGACATACACACTTAAAAGCTTAAACTGTGAATGAACACAGTGGAATTTGAGATGAAGATTTTATTGGCTGAAAGCTCCGAAGCGGCGTTTTTACTTCATGGATTCGTCCCAAGCTCTCTGCCACGATTCACATGAAATGTTATTTACAAAGTATCATACAGATATCATAAAGATAGTGTCAAAACCTGAACATCATCTTTAGATTGCAGAAACCCATCAATCCAACATGGCCCTGACATCTTCTGAACCCATTCCAGACACATCACTGAACCCCTTTTTCTTTCTACTCTGTTCAGAATTCCTAATGTTTTTTTTCACTGCACCTCGGATGATGTTGATGACCTCAAAACCCTCTCTCATGTTTGTTTTCTGACATATTCGCATAGTTAATATGAAAAAACGGAAAACCGTTCCGAAGAGGATTCAGAAGTAAACAGAAAAAAGAACAAGACGTGAAAGTTTTTATTTACAATTTTCACAGATTTCAATAGGAGACGTGATATATTTTGAAGTGAAAGTTGGGTCGAAAAGAAGAATATTCAGATTACGTAACCCACAGAATTCATTGAAATTTGAAAAACTTCCGTTTCGTGAGCAATATGAGGAAATAGGCCAAAACATGGAAACGATCGCAAATTCCTACAAAGTTTGGAGTCACAAGTCTGATAACCTCAAATAGCTTGAAACTGAAAAAACTGCTGCAGAATCTCAAAATCTGTATTTATACCGATCAAGTAGCTTCAGTGTTTCATTGAAATGTAGGTCGAAATCTGCGAAAAAAATGTGGAAAAAAATCTGTGAAAAAATGTCACAAATTTGAGTGTCATCCCTGCGCAGGGGCCATGCTAATATTCTGTATTATTCCAATTTTAGTATATGTTCAGAAGAAATAACTTTTTAAAAAAATTTCCCCACAAGCCTAAACCAGAACATAAAACAATGTGCTCGGAGGCGTGTGTTGGACTTGTCGGAGGTCTGGCTAAGTATTGGCTCCAACAGCCAACAGCCGGGATTTTGACTGCCTTCTGAGACGGAAAACTTCAATTTCAATTTTTCGGACGTTTTCTTCGAACAGCGAACGACGGAGAACCAACGGACGACCGACGGACGGACCGTCCGTACATCCCTGATACCAATTTCAGCAGACAAAACACTAGACTCTCTACCGTAGCCTCGAAAACGTCAAGATGTAGAAGAAAACTCGGAACACGGAAGGAGCGCGACAACGAAAAAAAGAAAGAAAATAAACAAATCAAATCGAGTTCGAAAAGTTTTTATAACCATAAAACCAGTCCCAATATTGTGACTGGTCCGTAGCCTTCCACTGAAAAAATATAATAAATTGTTGGCAAAAATTAATTTTTCTTTGCCTCCGTGGAATTATTACGTAGTATTTTTCAGGGCGATGTCTGGAACAGGCGTTGCTGCTGACAGGAACCCTAATTTTCATTATTCATTAAATTTTTCTAGTTTCGGAAGTTTCATAGTTTTGAAGCTGGTGGCTTCCTGTCAAAAGCTGTCAAAAATTGAAATGTAGCTCTAAAATGTTTGGGGCTGTAGCAGTAACATCCCAGGTGCCGAAAATCACGAAAAGTATACAAATTCTCATTTCTTACTGTAATGTCTCTCAGAACATTCTTTTTATCAAAAAACTTCAAAAATTTTTACTACATGTTAAAAGTTTTTTAAAAATTCTAGGCACCCAGAAAAATGACGCAAACTAAAAAATTTTTGGTAATCCCTCTAAACTACAAGAGTGCCCTTTTTTCTTACCCCTCCAATTTGCTATTCCATACACATCTCGATTCACATCCCGCCAATCCTGGAAACTGTCTTTCATACGTCCAACCTCGTCGTTGCTTCTCAAATCCAAGAAAATTCCTGTAACTCGATCAGTGAAAAAACGCCGAAACTCGAGAAAAGCAAAATGCTCATTGATTTTACTTTTTTTCCAAAGGTCTAGGCTTAAACTCGCTTAAACTCATACACCTCCTTCTTTAAAATTTTTTTCCAATTAAAAAAGAATTCTAAATTTTGAGTTTTACCCCCTAAACTACTAGAGTATCCCTTTCCTTACCTCCAACTCGCTATTTCCATAGTAGAATCCATACATAGCGATCCTCGATCAGAGTCCTGCCCATCGTAGAAACTGTCATTGAAGCCGTCAAACCTCGGAGTTGCTTCTTATCTCTATTCCTGTGAAAGATATTAGAAAATGATAAACTTACAAAATGCTTATCATATTATCAAAATTATTTTGTCAGTTGGCCACTTTTTAATATCTCTCACAGTAGCCGAGATAATTGAAACTACACGAAACGGGCGGCTAATTTATATAGGGGTGTCTGGGAGAGCAGCCAACATCTCACAACTTGTTCAGAGGATAGATAAGGGTGCGCTCCTAGGAGATTCATGGGAGGAGACGCAGAAATAATAAGATCCAAGAATTCGCGCATTCTTTCGAAGTGTGGAAACACAGAATCTCAAAACCTCAATAACCTGGAATTTAAAAAAATCTTCAGGATAGAGATCCCCTCAGGAACTTATCATCAAAGTGTCCCCAATGATGGCTCAACAAAAGAAATTAGAACTAAAAAACATTGAAATCATTGAGAATTCCTATTCAGAAGATTATCAGAATCAGATTTTGGCAAAATGAACTACTGAAATTTCATGGTTGGAACTCATAAATACCTTTTTGTAGAATCTGGAAATTTCAAAATCATCGAATCAAGCTCCACATCTGCTCCATTATTAAAGCCCCAAAAATTAAACTGAAAACAAGTGATAGGCTCTATAACTTATACTAGAATATTCTATAGAATTAAAACTATTCTTCTGGGCCACCCGTTGTGTTTCTGACCACACATCAATGTCAGACTCTCAATTTCTTTATTATTTATTCTCACCTTTTCTCCAAATCCTAACAATAGAAAACACAATTAAAATACTCTCAATAGAATGTTGAACCAGTTGACCTACTCTCTTCGCTCCGAGAAAGGACATACTTTCTTCAAAAAAAAGGTGAAAACGAGGAGAAAGATTGCTCAATTTCCGCCAGAGTAATTACGCAATGTGTTCTGTCTGTCTGTTGGGTTTTGAATAATCCCGAATACAAAAAAAACGAAGACGGATGGTTTGGGTGACACCTTGAGACATGCCGAATGATGATCGATGAACCTTCTTCTTTTCAAATGAACCGAAAACGAAAATTGAGGAAAACAGAGAGAAAAAATAGAGAACAATTGAACTTTCGTTTGACCTCCTACTGTTAGGTTTTCGAGATGAGAAGGATTGTGTCATACTCTCGAGAAAGACACATGTCAATCCGGAGAAACGCAATGAGGTTTCGAGAAAGGGCTGGGGCGTCTTTGGCGTATTTTCGTTTAAAAAAAAAGGGTAAAACAGACGTATTGGAACACCACCGATCAAGCTAGTTTTCTGAATGAAATTCCAATTCAGAAATTTTTAAATATAACATTTTAATTGAGCATTTCTAAATTCTAAGAATTTCGAAGATTTTGACGATGTAAGAATTTTAGCTCAGAAAATTTGATGAAATATGAAAATGATATCTAATTTTGATTATATTCAGATTTTGGAGTTTCTTAATCTTTCCGATTGAGGATTCTGTGATTGGAAGATTTGAAATTAAATTATTCTGAGGATCGGAAAAACGGAGATTCTGAAGTTGAAAAATATGGAATATTCTCACGGAACGGAAGTTTTCTAATTTCGATTTCAATGAACCCCTGAAACTACTTGATCTGTATACAAATAGATTTTGAGGTTCTGAAGGAGCTTTTTTTCAGTTTGAAGCTTTTAGAAGTTATCAGATTTGTGACTCCAAACTTTGTAGGAATTTGCAAATTGTTTCCATGTTTTGGCCTATTTCCTCATATTGCTCACGAAACGGAAGATTTTCAAATTTCAATGAATCCTGGGAGTTGCGTAATCTGAATATTCTTCTTTTCGACCCAACTGTCACTTCAAAATATATCACGTCTTCTATTGAAATTTGTAAAAATTGTAAATAAAAACTTTCACGTCTTCTTCTTTATTCTGTTTACTTCTGAATCCTCTTCGGAACGGTTTTCCGCGTTTTTATATATTTACTATGCGAATAGGTGGATGTCCCACACCGTACAGAATGATTTTCAGAATTCTTGAATTTTTGGAAGTTTGTGAAATTGTGTGTACTGTAGAGCAGCTCGGGAGCTCCTCATTCTCATACCCTTTTAACAATAAATCCAAGCCACAAGTGAATTGATACTTATGAGATATACCGCTCCAAAGATCTGTGGGTTTCATGTAACCATTCAGCGTTTAGGAATTTCAGAGTGTAAAAATCTTGGGCTCTCAAAATTTCAGAACCTGAGAAAATCGTTTTCTCCCAAAAGTATTCCCTCGGGGTTCGAGAGTTGAATTAACTTGAAATCTCGGATTTTTGGGACGGAATCAGGGGAATCCGGGTTTCAAAACTTCAAGTTATGAGGTTTCAGGATCCTAGAGCCCAAACGACTCGATTTTTCGTAATTTCAATACTCTGACACAAAATTCTCAAAACCTCTTTACTTCTGAATCTCAGAACCCGTCTGGATGACAAATCCCACCCCAACACCTGCTCACGGAGCATCTGTACCTAAAACCATATCCACCACTTCTTCTTTATTACTTTCTTCCTCTTTTTCATTTATTTCTAAAGTGCAGATGTTTGTCATGTATCCTAACGAGCTTCCTCTTCCTCAAGGCGTCTGCCACCAGGCGCCGTGTTCATCATCTCAATTGACCTATTCTCGAATCCCATGTAATTATCCACCAATCCCTCTTCCCAAGCGTTTTCTTCATCTTCTTCTTCATCCCTCGCGGTTTGACCTTTACCCAGAAACTCTTCATCGTTCTTTTCCCGAATTTAATATGCATGTAGTTCTTCTTCTTCTTACCAAAAACTTTCCCATTTTCTCTGCGGTAGATGATGAGGTGTACCGCCCGGTCGGAGTGAGGGGGTCAAAAACACGAGCTTAATTGAGAAGCGATCATGATGATTCGGGATCCGACATTGTCCCCGCCCGTATTTCTTTTCGTACTAGTTACTGCCTGACGCTCCGCCCATTTTTTACTGGGGAGAAGGTGGGCGAAGAGATGAGCATTTGATTTAGTGTATGTGCTTTGAATTCTAGGATTCAGAATTCATAATATTTAAAAAATTATTTATGGAGTTCAGTTTTCATAAGAGGTCTTGAGACTTATTCTGATATCCAAGCGGTTTCTCTAGAACTTCTAGAATCAGAGCTTCTGAGAACCTTAAACTATGAAGTTCCTGGAAATCTAAATTTTGAGTTTCGTGCTTCCCAAATCTTCCATATCCAATGTACCCTACTTGTCGTACACTTCCAACATTATTCTTATTTTAACCATCTGAATTTCAGAATACACAACGATGCTGCTAAGGTTAGGATTTCTGGTATTCTGCTCAATATTTGAGAAGATTGTGGCACAAACAAAAGTGATCAACTACATTGATAATTCAATTATTGGTGAGTGAAGTTACTGTGCATCCAGTTTTACAGGGTGGCACATAACTACCCGGGCTCAAGTTTGCATAACATTTTCTCGCATAACATTTCGGTAAACCGTTGTACTGAGCTCAAATTTGGAGTGTAATGGGGTTATTCAGGGAGTCGGCAAAAAAGGAAAATAACTCCGCGAAAACTCGGAGAGTCTGAAATTCCAGCCAAATTTTCAAAGTTGATATTTTGACCCCAAACTTTGGCAAAATGTTTCCTATAGTTTTCTTCAGTTTTCCCTAAAGTTTCAGCCAGATTGGAACACTCTCCGAGTTTTCGCGGAGTTTTTTTCCTTTTCTGCCGACTCCTTGAATAACCCCATAAAAATTCAAATAGTTCATCATTAAACTGACCAAGTTTCAAATTATTTGATCAACTTTGAACTGAGTTATAATATCTCTTGTCAAAGTTGCTTCATCTCATGAAGATCACAACGGTGGGCATGAAAGACTTCATCTTTGGACAATCATAAAAACACTCACTTGACTCAGACTTGAGGAACCGCTTTGAAACTTTCAGTAGTTTTGAATCAAACGTAAAATTATATTTATATTTACCAATCGTCGTGCTTCCAAGATAGCTATGTCTGAAGCTATGTCCGTTTTTTGTCAGTCCGTGTAGTTGTGAGCAACCCGGTAATTTGTTAAAAGCGACATAAAACCATTTTATCCATAGTCCTTGTTCCATTCTTATCACGAAATCTCTATAAACTTTCCCAGAGTTCAAAAAATTGCGCGATATCCTCCTGACCTCGTTTCCTCACTTTTTCTTTTTTTTTTGTTCCGGTGAGTGCTAACCGGATAATTAGGCTGCGACATACTAAAAGAGTTCCATTCTTTAAACACTTTTCCGCCTAACAAAAAAGTTGTGCGATAATCTCGGCTGTCTACAATGATCAATTATTTTGGGATAAATCCATGTCCTTCAGGGAAGGGAATTTAGTTAGAAAGAGCCTCAAAGGTGGGGGGACAGGAGATTTTACGGGGGATTTTTGGGGCCAGAGTATGCATTCTACCGTGATGGTATACAACGCTTAATGTCACTCTGCGTACAGCTGTCGTCCTCGCCTTTATGTATGCAATCGGGTGACAGCTTTCTCTTTGCCCGTGTAGCTCAGTCGGTAGCGGCGCCGCACCCTCAATCCTCGTCCCACACGTTCAACTCCTCGAGAGGCATATTTAAACGAAATTTCGAGAACATTATTTTTTCACGTCCCCCCACCTTTAAAGGGGAGACCATGGAAGAAAATAGGGATTACCGTATTTCCTCTGATAGTAGCCCTCCCAAACGTTCAACTTTGAGCTCAACTATCTCGATTCCTGTGAAAAATATGAAAAAGTTGTCAACTGATGGAGATATTATGAGAAACAATTTATCAGTTGACAAAATTTTGATATCTTTCACCTGAATCGAGATAATTGAGCGAAAGGTTGAGTCGATTAGAGGAAATTCGGTACCAATAACAAAACATGAAGATGGCTTATTTTGGATAACCTTGAAGTATCTCGAGGGAAAACTCATCCGCTTAATAATATGCCAAAGAAACTAATTTTCAGGTACACCAAAAGTAATATGTGCCGAGAACGACTTGGCCCTGGACATCGTTACCTCGAAGCCATTCCGCGGGAATATATTCGTCAAAGGACGAGCCAAAGATAAGTCGTGTCGGCAGAGCTACGCGAACAATGGAACCAATTCCTACTCTCTTCCACTGGGAAAATGTGGAATGCAACGGTTGAGATCGGCAAACCCACGAGGTGTCAATTTCATGGTTACTGTAATCGTCTCCTTCCATCCAGCTGGATTCATCACAAAGAACGATCGGGCTTTCCACGTGAAGTGCTTCTACATGGAGCCAGATGAGATTGTAACTCAGAATATCGATGTCAGTATGATCCCAACCACAGAACTCTCTGATAGTATGGTAATGCCAAAATGCGAGTATTCCGTTCGTCGTGATGGTCCAAACGGTCCCACTCTAACCTACGCAAACGTCGGAGACATCGTATTCCACGTATGGGAATGTACACCAGCTGACATGGGAATGCTCGTCAAAAAGTGTTTCGTTACCGATGGCGATGGTGAAGATCATGCTGTGGTTGATTTCGATGGATGTGCCACTGATCCGTTTTTGCTCAGCGAGCTCTCTTATGATGCGTCTTTGATGAGAGCACATGCATCCAGTCAGGTCTTCAAGTATGCTGACTCCAATCAGCTATACTTCACATGTCAAATTCGTTTGTGTCAGAAGCAGATGGGAATGTGCCAAGAGGTTACGGTAAGAGATCGGGTGAAATAATGGGGAAAACTGAAAACTGTTATTTCAGCCACCAAGTTGTGGAGTGAAAAAGTTGGAAGACGAAGCAAACGCTGGAAACCGAACGAAAAGAGAAATCGAGAAGAATGACTACGAGGCAGGTTTGAAAATCGGAAGAGCTTGAAGAGCCTACGAAGCCGGTAGCCTGAATAAACGAGAATATATTTCAGATCGACGTGGCAACATCAGAGCTTCTAGTCCTCGACCCTGCTGATCGAGGTCTTCTTGCACCGTCTCCATTCTGTGTCCCACGTCTTCTTCTCCCGGTTCTTCCCCTTCTTCTCATCACAATCGTCTCATTAACTGTTGTCTCCACGGCTCTAGTCATTCGTCGGCAGAATCACAAGAAAGAGTTGGACGTTTTACAGTCCAGCAGATATTACTAATTTTTAAATAATTGTTTATTATTTAAGTGTTTTCACATTCCCTTTTTACGGTGTTTTTCCTCTCTTCACAAACTTCCTTTGAACTCTCGAAAGCCAGGCCCCCTTCTTCTTCTCTCTGTGATGTCGTGACATCGTTTTTTGTAAATCTATCTTTAAGACTACGCGTGATACAATAAAATCTGATTTTTATTCGACGAGGCAACTAAAACACAAAAAGAAGGTTGCGTACAAGGTTCGGAGCTAGAGAAAAACGGAAAATAAAAAACACTTAGAAATCGATTCCGATGGTTGGGGCGAAGAGTCCGGATCCTCCCGTTTGGAGGGTTCTTCCTTGTTGACGATCCCACCAAAGGATCTTTCCATCCAGACATGCCTCATTCGACTTGTCCATTGGGACGAACATGAGACGGGTGTAGATGTAGAACAGGGCGAAAACGGTTCCGACGTACAAGAACACGGTGCGTGGGGTAAAGCGGAAGAACTCGGCTTGGGTCATGTCGGCCGAGTACCAGCGGAACATGGCTGGATCCATTGTGACGCCCTCCTTGTACTTGAAGCTATGTGGGTCATACTCACGACGCAAGTACTCCTTCTTCAGAATCTCCTTCACGCGGTATCTGAAAATTAGTGAAAGTTTTATTCCTATTTTTTTCGGTTTTGCAAGTGATTCTCTACATTTATAACACAATTTATAAAATACTCGGTCATCAATTATTTGATTTCTCGATAAAAAATACGATAAAATAACTTGATTTTGAAACTAAAATGGGAGTTTTCAAAAAATAGATGTACTGGAAGGCTAAATTAATAAAAATTTCGGTTGATTTATTGATTCACTGCTCAAAGCTTCGACAACGCGAATAGAGCAAAATTGGAACAATTTTACAGAGAACTCGGTGTCGATTGAGCTGTGAAACACCTTTTTGATTCAGATTTCAATAAAATTCGAATCAATAGCACATTTTTCAGCTTACCTCCACAAGACAGCCTTCTTCTCATCGTCGCTCAAATTGTATTCATGTCCTGGCAGGAACTCGGTCTTTCCTGAAACATAAATATTGTAATTTCCTCTTTCAAAAGTTCAAAAATCATTGAAAACTGAGTATTTACCGTGGGTCTCAAAATAACCGAGCACTGGGTCTTGCCACAGTTTCGGCGTTTTGATGTTCTGATTGGCAGCCGGTCGGAGAAGTCTCAAGGCTAACTTCATCTTGGTTTAACCTGGAAAACAAAAAATGTTGAATAAGATTCCATAGAACAGTTTGAAAAATAGAGAAAACAAGAGAAAATGTATTAATTTTTCGGCGAAACAACTGGCTCAAACGACACTCCGCCATCCCACTAGTGCGCGTTGTTTATCGTAAATTCACACCAGTCAAAAAAGTTTTTGTTTGCAGAAGAATTCTGATTTGTATTCACCGGCACTGTTGATATTATCGGTTTACAAACTCAAGAAAATGTCGGAAGGATCATCAAAAGACGTCCCTGGAAGCTCCACGAGCTTCAACCTGTCGAGTCACACAGAAATCGAAGAACCATCGCCACTGGATAGAGTCAGTTGGAATATTTATCTTCCTCTTAAATTAAACAAATAAAATTTCCAGATGCTTGCAGATGGTCGTGATTTCAATGGGGGTGGTTGGTCGAGTGAAGAGCTACAAACCTGTCTGAGGGAAATATTGAAATATGGAACGAGAAGCGAAACAATTAATTATATTCATCAAAATTATATCAAAACTCGATCCCGTGAAGAAATCACTGCGAAAATCGACGAAATTCGAGAAATCATCAAAGAACATAAGGAGGTCATTCTGCCAGAAGCCTATAAAAAGAAGTGGATCGAAGATGGACATCGAAATATCGGACCACCACCTGACTGTGAAGTCGATCCGAATGAGGGATGGAGTGCAATTCTTTCTAAGATTGTCAACCACCATCAATCATCGATCAACAAACATTTCAACCCAATGAGAGATGCTTTTGAGGTGCAGCCATTCCTAAAACGTTCCTAAATAAAAATATTTCCCAGAAAGTCTTTGAAACACTCTCCCAGAACTCAAAAACCGTAAAGAACGTCAAAGTGACCGACATGCAAACCGCTCGTGCAACCAGTGACGATACTCAGAATCTCAGATGGCCAGTCATCTACAAGTTTATGAAAGCATGCTCCACATTGGAAGAGCAAATGCCAGCTTTGAATGAGCTCGGTACGAAATCAATGAATAACTAAAGTCCTTAAATTATTGAATTTCTTCGTTTCAGAAGCAGCAGTGGTCATCAAAGTCCTGGATTCCATTGAAAATGAGGCATCCACTATCCCAGACTCGAGAAAGCAGTTCTAGCTGGATTATTCAAAGAATGTCAAATGGATGATTTCCGACTATGCGAACAAGATTATCCGCCTACACTTCAAGGCGGTGTCCAATTATTTGTGGATCCCTTGCGTACAAGATTCCACGGAATACCAGAAGTGGGAGCAGAAGTTGAATTGGATCACAATCAACCATCTACCTCATCATCATCTTGATTCGGGTTCTCGAAATCAAATTGTGTTATTTTATTTGTCATTTGTTTTCAATTTTGATCTCTAAAGTTTAAAAAGCGATTCATTAAACCGATAATTATCATCCGAAAAAAAAACAAGTTCAAGATTTCTCAATCCCCGACTTCGACCCCACATTCGTCTTTTCTACACTGCTAGTTTTCGTCGTGGTGGTTGTGGTCGTTGCCTCCATAGCCTTTCCAGCACTCTTTTTTCTCAAAACCGTATTATCCTCTGGCACGATGAAGTCTTCTTTGGCACGTTTCGCCGCCAACGCGTTCTTCATAAACTTATCGCGTTGAGCATCCTCCTGCTTCTTCTTCCAATTCTTCTCGATAAGTTCCACTTTATGAACCGATGGCGTTTTGGCAATGTATCGACGTCGAGGAGCCTTCTTGCTTGTTTCCGGAGGTGTTATCGGTTGGCTATGGGGTCTATTCTAGAATTAAACACTTCGGTTAGAGTTGGAACTTTGAAAAATAATTTTTCGAAGAACTAACCGATCCTCTAGCTCCATCCTCTTCTATAATCGTATCATCTTGAGCCGTATTAAGACGCTCGTCATCCTTTTCGTTCATTTTTCCAGCCACCAAAATCTCTTCCATTGTGATGTTTCGCTCAGTTTCAGGGGTATTCAAAATCTTCACCAAGTCCACTTCAGTCATGTCTCGTTCGGTAACAGATGGTCTTAAGTTTGAAATTGGATTTTCAAAAAATTCGAAACTTACAATGTAGACGTCTTTTTCTCAAAATGACTGTCATATTTGCCCCCTTTCTCCCAGTCAACTTTCATTTGTGGATTGAAATTCCGTCGGACGAAAACGTTCATCAGAAGGCCTCGAAGAAGATCATAATCTGGTTTCAGCTGATAACGAAGGACTGATAAATGTTGTGCAAACATAGCGCATTCTGACTCGATTCCGTTGTATAATTCTGTGACGTCTTCTTTCATCACAATCACTTTATCTTCCTCGCAGATTCCAGTCCTGGAAAACAATTAAAATTTCATTATCCCTATGATCATAAGATTCACCATGGCAAAGATCCTTTGATAAATTCCACAATCATATAAAAAAGAGACCACAAATCATCATGTCTTCCTTGCTCTTTCCTCTCCTGAGCAGCCACTGAACAGTATCTGAGTGTCCCTCGAAATGGTACGATCCTTCGAGCCTTTCGTATTCTCATCCCTCCGTCTTCTCCATCTTTAACCAAATACTGTCTAGCAATGCCGAAATCCAGAACATGAAGAAGTTTCTGTTTGGGAGTTCCAAGTGTTCCTATCGCAAAATTCGCTGGCTTCACATCTCGATGCACATAACCGATTTCATGAATTTCACGAAGAGAATCTAGTGCTTGAATTGCAATTACCAATGTGGAATATGTCGAGAATTTGTTGGTTGGAAGAGTGGATCGAATGGCATCTAGAGATGGTCCGAGTAGTGTCATCACTAGAAACTGATAGTTTTCTCCTTGTCCTTTTTCAATCAGCTCCACACAATGGATCGAGTTCTTTTCATTGAGTTTTGAAATCACTTTGTGTTCCATTGGCAAGGTGGGATCTTCGTCGAATACTGTGGTTTCTGCCTGGAATAATGTATAAAAGATTCTGGATTGGAATCCTATGGAATCAGAGATATCCCAAGAACAGGGCGAAAACAACGGGTCAGCAAAAATATAAAATTTGTCAAATTTTTCAGACTTTCACAAGGATTAATACAACTTCTTTCATGAGTTCTCAGAATGATTTGTGAGATTTTCAGAACAGGTCCTAAATCTCTTCGAATCCTAGATGACTTTTTTTTGAGTTTGGGATCAGCTAAATCGAGAATTTTGTCTGTTTTAATGATCAGTCAACTATTGAAAAGGATTACTGTAGACAAGAAACATTCGAAAATGAAAAGGATTACTGTATGGAAAAGATCCCAAAACCTCGAAAATCCTAGATGAGCCGCGACATTTTCTCACCTATACACAAAAGGTTCTGGGAACTTAATACCTATGGAACCAGACAAAGACCAAAAAAATCTTCACCTCATTTTGAAAAACCTACTTTACACGCGAATCGTCTCCCTGGACACTTCACCATCGCTACCTCGTAAATAACTCCACATCCACCTTCCCCGAGTTTTCTGAATGCCTGAAATCCTTTTTCTTTTTCTTTTCTGTGTTATTCATTCCTCCAAACCCACCAAATATTTCCCGTTTATAACAGATGCAACTTTTATTTTAGGTCTATTCGCCGCCATATTTTGAAAACTTTTTCGAAATTTTTTTAGAAAGAAATATCAAGAAATACAATTTCAAGTGCCAGCATTTCCTCTTGATCATCGAGCAAAAAAAGAGGCAAAAAAGGAGCATAGCAGTACAATAAATTGGGTTAATGGTTCACTGATTTTCACGTTTTCTTATGGATTTTTCTAGAACATCCGGTCTCTCCTGGCCTAGATTCATAAAATAATAACTTTCCTTGAACCGTCTGAAATGTATTCCTCTACTATGAATCCTGACGAAGTTCGAGAAACTCGACGGTACGCGAGAGCTGTTATTTCAGCATCCTTCATCGCTTCGTTGAGAAATGTTCAAGTAAGGATACACAGACACACATACACTTTTTATGGAATTTAAGACCCTGCAAAACTTCAATTCATCTCTGGAAACTGTTCGTCAGAGACTTTCAAGACCAATAATTCAAAGTAATGATTCTGTGGACTCTTCTTACTCAACAACTTCTACGACACCAAGATATTCAACTCCTCCGAAGTGAGATATTTCAGAATTCAATGCTTGCAACATTCTTCCTATAGGATGAGAGCTATAGCTCTCATTAAGAAAAACTCAATCATATAACTTTTCTTTTTTGGAATACAAGATTTTTTTTTTGAAAAAACTAGGTCACGTTAGGATGCAATTCAACACATAACGATTCCGGTCAGCATAAAAACTTTTTTGGGTTCTATTACAGGTTTTACGGTAGTCTCATATCTCCCGTCTCGGAAAATCCCAGAATATATCATACTACAATTCTCATAACCCAAAAACCAAATTCTTTTTTTTTCTTCAGAATAAGAGTGATGACCGTCCCAAAAGAGCATCGTTCGAAAACACTTGACGAACCGATTCGTCCCAAAAATTGGTCCCCAATAACAGATGGTAAAAAAGCAATAGCTGCGATGATTGATCAAGTACGTCTCTCTCACTTTTCCTCTAATTCTTCTGATTTAATTCAATTTTTGAAGATGTGGAATATTCCATATGCACCATGCCAATATGTCGTTCAGTTTATGTGTACTGTAAGCTTGATGAATCTTCAGAGGTTGGTTTGAAAATTAATTTCCGGGGACAGTCTTATTTGAATAAGGTGTCCTAGGATCACGAAAACCTCAAAACTAGTAATTCGAAATGGTCTATTTTTCAGACATAAGTATTGTGTCCGTTGGCAAAATTGTCGCCGCTCGGCAATTTTTTATGTGAACATTAATGAGACGAAATGGGAAACAAATGTTTGGGTCAACTTTCCAGGAGAGACAAAACAGCATCGGTGAGCTTATTCTGAAAGTCCGCTGCAATTTTGATAATCTGAATTTCCGAGGTTCTGAGATTGTGAGATTCTAAAGTTTTGATTTTCGCAACTCTATATTTTGACATTCTGAGATTCCGAAATTTTGAGATTCTTTAATTCCGAGATTCTGACATTTTGAAGTTCTGAGAGTCTGAGAATCTGAGATTCTGGGATTCTGAGATTCTGAGATTCTGAGATTCTGAGATTCTGAGATTCTAATATTTCGAAATTTCGGAATTCTAATGTTTTGATATTCTTAATTTTTGTGATTCTGGTATTCTGTAGATTATGAGATACTGAAGTTCTGAAATTTAAAAATTCCGCGACTCTGAAGCTCTGAGATTCTAGGATTCCGAAGCTCTAATATTCTAAATTTTTGACCCCGATTGCTTTTCCTATTGCTTCTTCTCATAAATTGTTATTGTTTTGACCTCCTCGCCAGAAGGTGTAAGTGTGGTATTATGTGCATTTGCGCAGGTGAGCTATCCGTTTTCCCGCGTTATTCAAATTCTATGAACGTAGGAGAGAAATAGAGAAAGAGAGAGAGAAAAAAAGTGCATTAGGGGGTTGAATTGAAATCTAATGAAAAGGGAGAAAATGAATACATTATGCATCATCAAACACCCACCATTTGATTTTCGAATGCGATGGGAAGTGTCAATTTTTGGAGATATTATTAGGATTTGAATGGCATGTGACACATGTCTTATTTGGAACATTAAAATCTTCGAATCTCAGAATCTCAAAAATTTCAGAAACTCAAAAGTTGAGAATTTGTAGAATTTCAAAATCTTAGAATCCCAGTATCTAAGAATATGAGAATCTAAGAATCCGAGAATTTGAGAATTTCAGGCTTTCAACATTTCAGAATTTTAGAATTTTCGAGTTTCAGAATCTAATAATCCCAGAATTTTAGAATTTCAAAGTTTTAGAATCTGAGAATTGTTTTATTTTTCCGGATTTTTGATATTTTAGGAAATTTTGAAAATTTTGGAATTTCGAAATATAATTTTTGTTCTTTTTGGAATTTTCGGATTTTTGGGAGTCTCACAATTAGCAACTCAAAATCTCAGATTTTCAGAGATTTCGGGTCTTGAATTTATAAAATTTTAAAATTGCAACATTTTTAGGATCCCTGAATTTTAGAACCTCACAATTTGAGTATTTTTGAAATTTGAAATTTCAGTATCTCAAAAATCTGAGAATTTTAAAACTTTGTAAATCTTGAGATTCTCAATTCTGGGAATTCGTGAAAATTCCATTAGAATTGAATCACAATAGAGCCGAACAAGAAAATCATATGGAATGCACAATGAGCATTTCCTTCTTCTTTAGCGGGAAAATATACTACTAGGAAGAATACTAAAACATCTGCTATTCCCTTCTTTTTCGGCGTTTTCCATAGTTTTCTAATTAATTCGTCCTCTTTGTAATTCTTTTTTTCAGACCACAAACATCGGCAGCCAATTTCCAACGTTTCCTGAACCAAAACCTCTTCTGAGACAACCTCTTCCTTTCCTCGTAATCATGTTTTTCCCCGTCATTCTTAGTTATAATACCATATGCCATTTTCTCTAACCGCCTCTCCTTAATTAACACACTATTTCTCTCATTTTTCCTTATTTCCATCCGTGTATGCTAATCCGCAGGGTCCGGCTGTTGGCTCTTTCTTGTTTAGCATTCATTTGTTGTTTATTATTGTGGAACGAAGGTTCTTCTTCTTCTTCTTATTCTACATCCAAATGAACATGTCATGTCCCCAGTGTGTCATTCTTTGGAGATCCATGAAGCTTAGACGGTTGTGCCTTTGAGATTTTGGAGTTCTGGAATTCTGGAACACTCTCAGATTCCTAGATTCCGAATTCCAAAAATTTGAGATTTTATGATTTCAGCATCCAAACGAATTTTCGAATTTCAGCTCCCGGCTTTTTAAATAGAGTTCCAGGCTCTCAGTTTTCAAGGTTTCGATTTTCTGGCTTTTGGAAATTCCATGATTCTCAGATTTTGGTTTTCAGAATTACAGATTCTCAGATTTTGGAATAAAGTAAACTAGAACTTAAACTTCTATGTGATTCCGGGATTTGGATATTTTGTGAATTCTCACTGTTAAAGTTCAAAATTTGTGAGTTTGTGATTTTTTTAAAGTCTATGTGTTTCTTGATTTCCGAATTTTGACAGTGACTTTTTTCTAAACGGTGAGGTTCGACTGCTGACTAATTTCTCACAGATTTGTGACTCACTTAAATACCATTAGTTTTACTGTTAACAAAAAAATAATTTTTTGGAGATTTTTTCCCGCACTTTTTTTCGATGGATTGCAGGAACCGCTGAGTAGCAATTCAGCAGTTCAATTTTTAAGCTTTCTTGTCGAGACCAACTGATTTCTACTACGGTATATAAATCGTCCGAGCGCATTTACAAGGCGTTCGAGTCTCAAAAATATTTTTTCTATTATCCTTATCCCCTCTATGACTAATTGCTTATGATCATGAAATCGTTGATGGTGTCCTTGAACCTAAATTTCTCTGATCGATTTCATTTTTCCATTCCCATATTTCCTTTCCCATTCCGAACAATACCTGTCATTTTCTCTCTTTTCCAGGCGAAAATTTGTGGCATTCTCTGTAGATACTGTCTTTCTCTCTGTCTCTCTGTGTTCTCGTTTCCGATTTCTTGCATGTATTATTTTCCTTTCTCTCCAAAACCAACTGCATTCGTTGGCCAGTTGTTGTCGTTCGACAGTTCGCACTGTTTTTTCTTCTTTCGAAGAAGTCGTTTTAAAATTTTAGCTTTTTTGGGTTTTTTGCAATCAAATATTTATCACAAACGGAAAAGATGCTGAAAGCCCGAAGATCATTTAAAAATTTTGAGTAACCGCGCTTTTCAGTTTTCTGTGGCCTAGGAACCCAAGTATTGTGTACTCCTCGTGGAAAATCTTGAAAAATGACTTGTTTTTGTATTTTTCAACCAAAATTTGTCAGTTTTTTTTCTGTAAAGCAGGCTCTTGCTCAAATTTTTTATTAGAAATGACGCACGCATGACAGTTGTTTTGCGACATCTATCATCCCATCCAAAGCTCCGTGCAAATGTTAAAAAATTAGTGTTACAACACATATACATCTGCCATCTTCTCTTCATTTTCTTTCCCCACCACTGACCACGATCCCCTTCTAATCTGCCCTCCGACAGCAAGACCGGCGGCCCATTTGTTTCCACCCAAAGGTCACTTTTCTTCATATTCTTCTTCTTAGTCTTCTTATATTTTCCGCTTCTGTTATTCTTGTCGTCTTCTTCTTCTTTTCATCTCATCTTCTACTAGCGCCAAGACGCGCCCCGCGCGCTCATTAATTGTTCTTGAGCCGTCTACTACTCTCTGATCCGTGTACTCTCTTATAGGCACAATATTATTACTGCAAGGATATCTGTGAGGATGAAAAGGAGAAAGCGCGAAAAGAATAACAATTTGTATTCGAATTCACACCGTTATTCCATTCTGACCGTTCTGTTAGAAGAGGAAAGATTAGAGAACTGAATTTAAAAAAAGTTTTAATTTAGAAATTTTGGCTCGAGCAAGCTTGAAATCATGAAAAGCGAGGATTTTCGGGACGGAATTCCGATTATTTTCGGAATGAAAATCCGCCGGAATATTTATTTGTTTCCCATGCTTTTTTTCGAAATTGGAGCTTTGTGGACTACGGTATTTCAAAAGCGCACGCAAAAAGTTCTCATGCGGGTTTCGAGCGGAATTACTTTAACTATTTTTTTTCTATTTTTTGAAATCTGTTTGTCAATTTTTCACCAATTTTCGGGATTTTACGATGAGAACGTGGGATTTCTATTAAAAATTTTGAATGTTCAAAATTTCTGAAAATTTCGAAAAATCAAAAATTTAATATTCCGATGTTCCGATGATTCCAAAATCGGAAAATTCGGCAATTACTCTTTGACTACACCACTCTTTGACTACACCTACTCATTGACTCCACATTCTCTTTGACTACAAAATCTCTTTGACTACACTTGTCTCTTTGACTACAAAGTCTCTTTGACTACACTTTTTTGTTTTATAGTACTTTTTGACTGAATTTATTGGAGTTTCCGATTTTTGTCTCAAATTGTAGGCTTAAGCTAAAACAACAGTTTTCCGGTAACCGTTTCAGCCTAAGCCTTTGATTTGTACAGAAAATAATAAAATTTTGGAAATCTCAGCGAAAAAAAGTGAGAATTTTGCTGATTTTCGCGAATTTCAGTACTTTTTTCACTGTGATGTATTTTTGGAATTGTCAGTTTTTTGTTTAAAATTATAGGCTTAGGCTCAAGTTCTTCTTATATTCTGTGAGAACGCCCACAAAAACTGCAGAAAATTCTAAAATTTTAAAAATTGTAGTCAAAGAGACTTTGTAGTCAAAGAGACAATTGTAGTCAAAGAGATAAATGTAGTCAAAGAGACTTTGTAGTCAAAGAGAATGTGGAGTCAAAGAATAGGTGTAGTCAAAGAGTGGTGTAGTCAAAGAGTAATTGCCACCCTCACCCCGCTCCTCAATTTGCATACTTGTAAAACTCCGATCCGGCCCGCCAAAGCCCGGGCCCGGCCCGGAAGGCCCGGTAGCAAAAATTTTGTCATTTTTTGAGCTCTCAATACAATTTTCTCCATTATTTTTTGTGTTTTTGGATTGTTTGTCTGTTTGCTCAAAAAATATCAAAAAAAAAACTCGAAAAAAATTTTTTGATCGAAAAAAATCACATAAGGGTCCACCCTTATGTGTTTTTTAAAATTTTTTAAACTTGTGGAATGACAGGCCCGCCGGGCCGGGCCTCCGAAATTCGGGAAAAAGCCCGGCCCGGCCCGGCCCGTTGCAAGTATGTCAATTTGTCACAATTTGTTTAGAAATCTTCCCACTTTTCTCTTCCTCTACCACTCCTTCCCTTCTTCCACCACACCGACACAACACCATTCTTGCAAATCTCTTCTTCCTCTCCTCCGTTTTTGTCCGTTTTTCTTCTTCGTTTCCTCTCTTTTTGCACCCATCAAAAAAGATTACAAATACTCGAAGAAGAAGAAGCACGCGACACATTCCGCCTTTTCCAGACAAGTCTACTATTTTCCCCTCCCTGGTCGTCTTCAGATGCTATCTTCAGAAGACGTCCCGTGTCGAAAGGGAGTACCTCTTCTACTTGTTTTTCTTTTTTTGAGCCTGTTCATTTTCAGAAGCATTTCTCTCTCAAAGTGTCCAATTTTATGTGTTTTCCTCCCTCTGTATTTTTTGCGGGAAGCTTTTTGACAAATTAAATTACGCTAGACGGCACTCAATACGATTTCTTCCCTTATATATCTCTGAACACGACGCAAATAAATAGGAGATAAAAAATTCCAAGTGAAGAATTCTAGAAGACATGAATAATTGCCGAGTTTTATGGGAAGGAGATCAGAGGAATAATAGAAAATCGTAGTTATTCAGAGATTTTCATATAGCATGAATCTATCATAAGCCAGCCGGCTGTACGAATAATTTTCTGGCGATAATCCGAAAAAAGTTAGTTTATGACTTAATTTCACAAATCTTCGGCTTCAAACGCAAGCTCCAGAAGACGTTATACTAGGTTTTCTCCCGCTTAGTTTGAAGGCGCATGAAAAAAGCCACGAAGCGAGCTACTGTAAGTTCAGGAAAGTTAAGTTTTCTGGTTTCGAATAGTGTCTGACTTTCCCAGAAGTCTAACTTTCGATAATAGAATATTTAGAAATATTGACACACAGACAAAGTATAGGAATTTTCAAGTTTGCACCCACAAACTCTGAACCCATCCTATGATTTCCTTCTCAAAATAGCCGAGTTCATCTTCATATACTTTTTTCTGTCATTTCACATTTCCCGGATTATATATCCACACATATAATTTCCCACAAATTTCAATGACGTATTCTCCATTCATTTGGCCATCTTCGCTTCCTGAAGGCGTTCCGGTCCGGAGATTGTCGGTGTCGGACGGGAGGAGAGCGGGGTGCGATATATCCATCATGCCTTTTGACAGCTTCCACCCATTTCCGGATAGATTGGGCGGTACCGCGATGGGCGGGGGAAAAGAGATGCTTTACACCGATAAGTGCACAATAGAATCCAATTTTGCTCTTCTTCGTCTTTTTTTTGGTCCAAGAACTTGTTCTTGCTAACTCTGCTCCTGCGTCTTTTCGTCTCTAATCCTTTCCTCATCTCATTACTTAATTATGCCTCCTCACTTCCCATTCCACTCGACTTGCATTCATTCTTGTGCTCTTCTTCTTCCATTGAAGAAGCCCCACCGGAAGGTCTTCGGTCCAATTATGTGAGCACCCAACTCTTCTCGGTTTGTCTCCCCCGTGTAGCCGTCCCAATTTATTGGGATGCAGTAGGAGAAGAGATGGACGAGAACCTTCGCATTTACTTTTATTTCCCTTCATCACTCCCCTTTCCCTGTGTATGTGTCACTTTCAATTTATTCCAAATATTTTGATCACATCTTCTCCTCTCGATCAAATATACAAGTAGAAAGTGTCGACCTCTATTAGTTCATCGGTATCTTTCTGCCATTTCCCTCAAAAATCATGAATGAGAGTGCCTTTACTCATCTCCGTCTTTTGCTCCAATTGAAATGAAAATGAGCGGGACGACTCTGGATTTGAGTGTCATGAGCCAGTGGGTTAAATTGACTTTTTGTTTTGTTTTGTGCCGTTTCTCATCATGCATTGCCGCCTTTTAGGGTGGATTTGGAGGATGTTGACTTTTTCAGTTTCAGCCTTCAAAAACGTTTCCTATGTTTTGCTCTCTCGTTTCTGTTCGCTGAAAATGGACTGTTCATCGTAGGGATGTTCGGAAATTCTGAAAATTTTTTTTAATGAGCTCGAAACTTTGAGCTCTTGCATTTTTTTGCTCGATCTTGTATTGTAACAAAGTTTGACTCAAAGAACTCTATCAATATCGAATTACTTGCTCTTCAACAGACCAACACAAAGAATCTTCGGTGAATGTTCACATACCGTTTGGTCCTGTAAAGAAAATAAGAAACTAAACTTTGAAGTTCGGGCAGATCTTCATCCTTCTATAGAAGCCCAATCAGACCAATAAATTCGATATCGTTCCTCTCGATTTCTGTAAAAGATACCAAACACTTGTCAACTGATATATTATTTATCATAAAATCACCAATACTTATCAGTTGGCAAATTGTTGATATCTTTCACAGGAATCAAGGTAATTGAGCTAGAAGTTGATGTAGAGTTTCTATTAGAGGAAATACGGTACTTTGACTATGGTAGCTTTCGATCTCCCAATTCTCAAGCCTCAATTTCTTTTGTCTCAAACAGAAAAAGCGTCGAGAAAATCATGTAAATTTTTTCGCCATTTTCTGTGTCTCATGCTCATCACATCTTAGTTTTCAAAATGTTCTATTTACCTTCGGCCTTTCTGACGACCACTTGAAACTGGCGCCTCCTTCGTTTTCCTGCTTTTTGCTTCATTCTTCTACCCGCACACACATTTTGCATCCCCCTCCGATACAGTTGTTTTGTTTGTTGGTTGGCTCAGAAACTTTGCTGCTTTTTGCCCTATTTCATGTACTGGGGGATGTCCGGGTGCTGAAGAGATTGTAAATTTATTGCAATCATTTATAGGCCAAGTGAAGATTGTCGCTTTTCATCGGGTTTCTTGTTTTTTATTACCCTAGAACCGGGGTTTTTCGTATGTGTGTTCTTGTTTCCGTTCTTCTTTTTGACAAGAACTGTCAGGTCAGATCCAATCTACTCAATTCGAAGTGAGAGATATCCTCATTAGAAATTTGTCGGTCAGGAAAAAAACCCAAATCTTCCATTTTCCATTCTTGAAAATCGGCCCCTGACATAGTTTCATGTAGGATCAATAGAACTCGACAAGTACTACAAATTGGTACTATCCTGAAAATTGTATCTTGTCTATGAAAAAAGTTTCAAGCCATATGACCGCGTAGTTCTGACGAGTTATGGTTTGTAACTTTGTTCATAGACAAGATACAGCTTTTCAAACAGTTTAATTCTCTAATTCTCGTTATCATATCCGATTTACTCGGTCCACAAATATTGATCCTAGAAGAAACTATGGCAGTGTCTTTTTTCATGTCTGCAAACCCCTGTACCCCAAAGTTTACTGTTACGAATGTTCAGAGCATCATCTCCAAACTGTTCGTTTTATCTTTCCTCTTTCAATCACTTATTTGCATTCGTTTGAAGTGTATTTGTGTTGGTTTTCGCACGTCGGTTTTGAACCCGGAGGAGACTGCTGACCGCCATTCATTTCACATTTCCCTTTTTGCGGAAATTGAGAGCCATCTGACTATATTCCTTTTTGAAATATATCTATGTGCTCATTTTTTATCCTTTTTTTGACATTCTCGATCTTCCTTTTTGTAGGCATTAGACGTCTCCAAATTTCCTAATTATATCGAATCAGTACATTTGATTCTAATATATCATGCAGTAAGAGACCAGTTTCTATTCTCTCGATCTTTCTCTTCTCCAGTAAACTTTGTTATTCTTTCCCTTTTTCCAACATGTGTTCGAATATCGTTCATCAGCTGTGTGCTCTCTGTGTATCGTTTCCCTTTTCCCCTTTTTCGAATTTGGCCGGTAATAGGTCTATGTTTTCGAATCGAGGTTGTGACGTGATTCATTGAGGGAACAAGAGTACCTTTTGAGAATGCGCCGAAATGCGTGACTGTTCGTGTTCGAATCAGGCGATATGGCTATGTTGCATTGGCGCCAGAATCCCGTAGAGTGGGGATTTCAAACCCTTTGGGTCTCTGTTGTGTCAGTTTGAGGATATTCCGGGTTTAAAGTTGTTAATATCAACACTAAACGCGGTAAAGTTCCTGTAGATTTTGCCGAGATGTCGAAATCCCGATTCTTGCAATTTCGAATGAGCAATGAGCCAGAACTTCCTCACTTTAAATGATAGCTAGAAAAACGGGGATCAATCTCTCTAGGATCCACTCCACTTCTTAAAGCTTGCTTCTCGTAGGCGTAAGCTGGAGATTCCTGATCGAAGTTTATAATCTTTATCAGAATAACTTTTGACTTTGGAAAATTCGTTGATATCGAGGAAAATGTATTTTTCCTATCTATCCCTACCAAAACCAACCGATCGAAAATATGTATATTGACTCATTTTTCCACAATTTTTAGTCTCTGTTCAATGTTTACAATATATATTCCCTTCCAATGTGAATCTTCGCATTTTCCGCTAGAATTTCTATATACGCTCCAGTAACAGCTTGTGTTATTTTTCGTCGTACCGCCCGTTTTCCACACCACAAATTGCCACTTCGGCACGGCTCTTGTTTTCTTTTGTGTTTCAATTTAATCAAAACAGCCGTTGTTTCTCTAATTCTCTATTACTCTCTCACTCTCTTTCTCTAGAATTCGACTCGTTATCAATTCGGGTTCCAACCTTTCTGCGTCTCCATCATCTACTTTCTCTCCCCTGATTTCCTATTATATTTACTTCGTTCTCATATTTATTTCAAATTTTCCCCCTAACCTAACTTATTGCTCATCCTTATTATTACAGGTAGACTTCACCACGAAGTAGTTCCCGAACCATCATGTGGTTCGAGGAGAGTAGTTGGTCGAACCTCCGACTCACGGATATCCAGGAGGAATGGAGAGATCTGTGGCCGTCAAAAATCGAATTTATCACCTCAGCGATGGCATATCTATTTGCAATGACTAACTTTTTGAATTTGCCAAAATTGACACTCGAAAATGGAGGAGGTGAGTGATAAAGGCTTCAAGAAGGGGGTCCCTAGGGGGGAAACTTCAATTAGAGGGGGCAATTGTACTTTTCGTGGGTCCTCTGTGAACGGATCTCCCTATTGAGCATTTTTCAGTGAAATTTCGTTTTTCTACTAAAAATCCATTACGATTTCTACATAAAAAAAAGCGAAAACTGGCACCTGAAAATTTCGCGGACGCCGTTTGTGTCGATTTACGAGGCCTCGTCCTTGAATCCGCCATTGTATCAAACGAAATTGATTTCTTTGAATTTAGTGGGATTTTCTGATTTATATTCAGATTTCTTACTATTAGTAATATTTTGATCGCTAGAATTTTTAGAATTTTTTAAGTCAAAAAATCCATGCTTGATTGTGACAATTGCCCGAGCGAGGAGAACATTTGTATTAGAGCAACGACATTCAAATTCTCAGGTGTCAGTGTTTTTTTTAAATCAGACAGTAATTCAATAAAAAAAAACAGGAACAACGGCTAAGATCAATGGAGTCAAAGTGGCACTTCAAATAGAGAGAGCACTTCTATTTTTCGTGAGGTCCCTAGGGGGGCACTTCAATTTCAGGGGCCCTTCTAATACAGGTTTTACGGTAATTTGAAATTTTAAGACTAAAAATGAAGAGACTTGAAGTTATGCAGAACAGAATTCTGAAAAAAAACATAGATTTACGAGTTTCAGCACCTGGTGAGGAATATAGCTTTGTAGTCCGAGTTTTTAGAACAATTGAAACCTATTTTCAATTTCCTTTTTCAGTTGCATTCGCCGCAGCATACGCCGCCGTCGTTGGAGTTCTCTGTATGCCGACAATGGTGATGGAGATGTCGATAGGACAAGTGACTGGACGCGCGCCTGTTCTCGCTTTTTATCATCTGTTTCCCGTCTTCAAAGGTTCGTTTCTTCGTTCCCTTGTTCTTCGTATTTTATTGTCAGATCTCTTTTTGTTCTGCGTTTACGACCGATAAATTTAATGGGCGAGGAAAAAGAAGAAGAGAAAATGTGGAAGAGAGACTTTGAAAAAATGATTTCGGGGGTTCTAGGTTCATGTGTAAATTCTGCCCTAAATAATCCCTATTTTCAGGTATCGGCGTCGCTCAAATCCTGTTCACCCTTGTCGTGCTGGCATGCATGACGAAGTTTCTCTCAACGCTTTGCCTATTTCTCTATTACTACTTCTGGACATATCATGCCGGCCGAAACGGTCTCCCATGGCTCAATTGCAAGGCATTCCCAGAATTTGTGTCCCAACCATGCAGAGAAGCAGGATCAATCACGAATATCACACAGATCATTAATCGATTGAACACGATTCAAGCAGAGAGCTCGATGATGCAGTTCTTGACGTAAGAGTTTCTACCGTAAATGCTCTCAATAGAAGTCCACCGTGTACATGCACGTTGAGCACAATAGTCTTGATTCCTATGAGAGCAATCAAAAATTTGTCAACTGACAAAACACTTCTAATATTATGATAAACACGTTATCAATTGACAACTTTTTGATATATTTAACAAGAGCTGAGAAACATAGGACAGTCAAAAATTAGAGGGCCCTTCTAATACAGGTTTTACGGTAATTGAAGACTAACAAATTGAGCTTCAACGTTTCAGAACTCTCGAGCGACCAAGCGAATCAATCGCTGACTTCAAGGACTTCCAATACAGCGTTTTGATAGCTCAGGGAGCAGTTTGGATTGGAGTATTTTTTGCCGTTTGTTTCGGAGTTCGATTCGTCGGAAAAACGGTCTCATTCGTTATGTCTCTTGGATTCGCCTCTCTCATGGCCTTCTTCATCAGAGCTGCAACACTCGGAGGCGTTCAGGAGATTCTTGAGATTTACTGGAAGGCCACTGATTGGAATAAGCTCGCTGACTATCAAGTATGGAGATTGGCTATTGAGCAGGCGATTCTTGGAACTGGAATTGGTTATGGAGCATTTATTACGATGAGCAGTTATATGAAGAGGAACAATAATCTTGTTTGGTGAGCTTTTTTTCATTGTAAGAATTATATTCATAGACCATTTTCATTTTTCAGTGACTCGATCTTCCTGTCCCTTTGGCACTTGATCATCACATTCGTCCAAACAATGTCTGTCATCTGCATCGTTGGATTCCTCAGCATGAAACTAGGCATCCACCCAACGGAACTTTTGGAGACAGGAGAGGATCAGATGTGGTACATGCTTGCCTACGTCTCCTATCTTCCGAAAATCTGGTCGGCCATTCTTCTGACTATTTCCATCTGTACCATGTTCTCCGTTCTGGTCATTCTCTCTCTTTCTGTACTTTCCACAGTGGAAGATGCATTCGGAGAAAACTGGTCCAAGTGTTGCCGTCGGTTCATTCTGGCCCTGTTCCTTTGTGGATTCTGCTACGGGCTCACCACCTACTTTGCCACTCAGGCAGGACGCCACGCCTATGAGTTGGCCACCAGAAGCATCAAGTACTGCACAATATACTTCATTTTGACTGCCGAGCTCTTCGCAACGGCTTGGTTCTATTGTAAGTTTGTTTTATTAAAAATCAAGTAGACATCTTTTGAATTTCAGGCGCTCACAAGCTCGGAAGAGACCTTCACAACATGATGAGATCAAGATGCTGCTCGTGCTTTGGTCATTTCTTCTTGTACTTCACATACCTTCTCCCAGTTCTTCCAGCCGGTGTGGCGTTCCTCAACGCTCTTGACTACAAGTTCTCAACATTCTCTGCTCCAATCCACGAGTGGAAATACTCGGAATACGTTGGAATCGCAATTGCAATGGTTCCATTGTTGCCTATTCCGTTGTACTTCTTCATGACGATTTTATGCGCGTGCTGTTGCAAGGGAAAGAATCATCAGAAGACTTGCAAGGTAAATTTTAGGCGTGTGGATGTACTGTAGTTTCCTGTTTTCAGAGAATCCGCTCCGTCTTCGGCTCTCGTCTCCAATCACATCAGCGAAACGAGAAGGCTCAGCCGATTCCGAGATACACATCGAACGCTCCCGGCTACTTGCTGCTACCACAGGCTCCACTTGCAGAGCCGGAAATCTATGCATAATTTTTATACATCAAATGTACTTAATTTTTATCCTATCCCCTTCCTCACCCATTTTTCCCGATCTTCTGCGATGATTTCTGAACGATCTCGCTGCTTCCTACCGTATCCATACTAGCTCTCTATTAGAAATGAATCGAATCTAGTTGCATATCCTTTACTATTTTTCTTAACTGTTCTCCCCAATTCTTTCTGTTTCTTCCAACGATTTGCCTGTGTTTTTTCTTGGTTCCTTTTTGCACTTTCCTGCCCGTTTCTTCTCTTTCTGTCAATTCTTTTTTCTAAAACTGTCATCATTATTGTCTCGTCTTTTTTTGTTATTTTTCTTTCTCTCGATTTTTATGTGAAATTTTGTGAATATTCTACCGGTGCTCTTTGCAGTTCCAAATCCATTCTCTTCTCTCTTTCTCAAAACGCGCACTTTTTTAATAAAATGTATGAAAAGTAACTTTCTTGTACGAAGTTAGCTGAACAAAACAAACAGAGAACGACGTTTGGCAAATATAAAAGAAACGAGAGATCAGAATTTGAACATTGGCACAGTTTTCAGATTTTCATCAAATCAATTTATATCGAGAAAATGACTCGTGAGCAAAATGACACGGATTTACTGATTATGGCACTTCTTCTGGTCGTTTTTCCGGTGAGTTTCAGAGCACGATTGAAAAATGGGCTCGGCGGGAAATTTGAATTTTTACCAGTCTAGCGGTGTTTTTTTCCGAACATATTGTGTGCTCAAATGGGAATTACCGTAATACTACAGTAAAATTAGCGTTGGTCTCAGAGCTTCAAAGATGGCCGTAGTCGAAGGTCTCACTACGACAACTACAGTAACCAAAAATATGCTTATTTTCCGGATTTATTTTTTCGTTTTTCACTGCTTCTCGTCGAGCTTTTTGTTATTTTTTCCTTTAAAAAAGTAGGAAAAAAGTTTTTGAAAGGCAAAAATTAACTGAAAATGTACGAAAATCGAAAAAATAAATGCAGAAAATAAAGGCATTTTCAGGTTACGGTAGTTGTCGTTGAACCATAAAAACGTCCAAATCAGAGCCATAATTTCCGGTTTCCATCACTCACGAATCCACTACAAAATTGCCTTATATCTCAAATGCCCAAAATAGTTTATTACCCAATTTTCTCTCATTTTGCAGCCCCTTGGCGTGCTTCTCAAATCAAATGGATTCCGCGCTCCATTCTTCGTCTCATTCATGCTTTATTTTATTTTTATAATTCCTTCTTATATATTTTCGGTTTGGTTTTGTTTTGTTAAACAACGAAATGACAGTATTCTACCGTTGAATTCTGGAGATTATAACAATAATTTGTCACTGAATAGTATCTCAGCGTCTGTTACGCATAAGGATATACAAGTTTATTAATTAGTGTCTGAATAAAGAAAATTTAATTTTGTGTTATTGAGAAAATTTGTGAAAATGAACTCGATTTTGGAGAATCACTAAATTGGATGGTCCGTCTACAGTCCATCAGTTCTCCTTCGGCCGCCAATCAGCAATCATTTTCCAGTTTGCACCTTTCCCGTAGTATCTGTTTACATGTGCATCACTCAATTTCAGTAGCCCAAATGAAAAATAAAAAACATTAACCAGAAAAGGAAAAGTCGATGGAATACCGTAATCGTTCACTTCGAGCAAATTTATTTTGGTTCCTTCAAGAGATATCGAAAAGTGGTTAACTGGCGACATGTTCGATATAATAACCAAAACATTTTGTCAATCGACCACTTTTTGATAACTTCGACAGGAAATGAGATAAATTGGCTGAAAGTTGACGGTCAAGAAGCAACATTAGTCTTTTGTCCCAAAATAAGGCTCAATTCGAAAACCCGAAAAACTCACTAGGTTTTGTTTGAAAGATCTGAAAATGTTATAGCATACCTACCGAACAAATGATCGCTCAGTTTGTAGTTGGAACAAAGATTTTCATGAATACACTACTCTTTGACTACGAAGGAAAAATGAGCAAAATTTTTTCTTCCTTCTTCCTCTTTTCATTCGTTTGGATGTCAATTTTGAACACATTTTCTCCTTTTTTTGAGAGAGGTATGAAAAAATTTTTTCCAGTTGATTACTTTTTGATATCTTTCACAGGAACCGAGATACATTGGCTCAAAACTGAAGAACAAGTGATCATTCTATTAGGGTGTTGACGGTAAATTCTTCAAAATTGGATTGTTTGGAAGAACTTCCATTATAGGTTTTACAGTAGATACTTTGTAGCTAAAGAGTAAACCTAACATTTTGATGTTTTTTTTAGGTTCCAAGCGATATATCTCATTTGGGTATTTTGTGCGCGTGCTACAAAAAAGCCTCTAACCACAAAACCCGAGAACATCTTTCTCAATTCTTTCTTCAAATGAATTTCTAGTTTTTTTCTAGCGTCTCCCTAAAAATTGTGTCTTGTTCAGTTGTGTATTATAATTGGTTAATTGAACTTGTGGACACTTTGAACCCTTCTGATAAGAGAACTTTGGCCGCTCCATTATCACTTCTTATCAGCGAGTTTTTCTCAAATTTATTTCTAGAAAAAACCTTCGTGTAGTTTTTCATATTTTCCAACTTTAACCATGGGAAGTTACATTTCGTCTCCTCAAGTTCTGAGCAGAAAAGTTTCTGGAAACTATCGTGTGGGATGTAAGGATTTGATGATTGAGGGACTCTTCATGAGACTCTATTTTCCAACAGATTCTGAGGTGAGAATTAGGCCAGAAGAGTTTTCTAGGCCACCAAAGACTACCATGGTTAGACCACACATGAAGAAAACGTTTTCAGATAACCGAGATTTCGGCTCATGCATTATGGCTACCAAAACCAGAATATGCTCATGGTCTCGGAGAATATTTAGGAGCGTCTCAGCAAAAAATGGATCTGATTTCAATGGCAATTGTGGGAGATAAAAGGTTTGTAGATTCTGAAATTCCGAGATTGCACATTTTGAGATTGTTTGAAACTATGAAAAATTGAAATTTCTAGATTTTTAAAAATTAAGAAACGGAACAAATCATTCTCGACCATCATTCAACTTTATTGTTAACATTTTTCAGAGAAGACTGTATTGATAACGCTCAACTCTCGACGAAACAAGACAGTTGGCCAATCGTTATCTTCTCTCATGGACTCGGTGGTTCCAGAACATTCTATTCCACGTATTGCACATCTTTAGCTTCTCATGGATACATTGTAGCCGCAATTGAACATAAGTGAGTCTTGAAAAATCTTATAAACACAAAAATTATTTTCAGAGACCACTCCGCCTGCTGGACCTTTAATTTAACCGAGAAAAATGGGGAAATGGTTGAGGAAGCTCTGAAGATTCAGCTAATCAAAAATAATGATCCGGATGAATTTAAGCTTCGAAATCAACAAGTATAGTACTATAAATAAAGCATGTTTATAAAAGTTTGAATTTCAGGTTGAACAACGAGTCGCGGAATGCGTGAGAGCTCTAAAAGTTTTGGAACAACTGAACGCCGGGGTGGTTCCTGAGAAACTTCTGGTTGGAAAGGATTTCGATTGGACACAATTCCATAACAAATTGATGACGGGATCTGCTTCGATCATTGGCCACTCGTTTGGGGGAGCAACGTGCCTGGCGTCTACGGCGTTTACCAAAGAATTTCAGAAATCTATTGTATTGGATGGTTGGATGTTTGCCCTGGATCCTTCTCAACAACAAAATTCAAACCAACCAACAATGTTTCTAAATATCGGCGATTGGCAATGGAATGAGAATCTGGAAGTGATGAAGAAAATACTCCCTAATAACGATGCGAACTTGCTATTGACATTGAATGGAGGAGTTCATCAGAGTTTCTCCGATTTCCCATTCATCTTCCCCAACTGGATGGCCAAACAGTTTGGTGTTCAGGTAAGATGAAATTCGGAAAGCTGAAATTCGAAATTCTAAAAATTTCAGGGCACCACAGAATCTTCGCTATGCATCCAAGCGGCCATCGAATTATCCATCGCGTTCCTTCAAAACGGAAAAGATGGTGCTCAAAAAGTCAAAAACGAAAAGTACTCGACATTCATCACCAACGAGATTTATGGTCGGGAGAAATTCAAAAACTAAAAGAGCTGGAACTCTTGAATTTTCGATTGAAACGATGTTTGTAACTATGAACAATTCCCTGAATAAAATTTCACAGTTTTTTAAAATCCTTCATTATTATTGTCATTCTGGTACAAAAAATCGGAGCTGAAGGTCCTACAACGACAACTACCGTAACCTAAACAACATTTTATTTTTTTTTCTTGATTTTCGGGTATTCTCAGGCAAGTTTTTTCCACTATCTGGAAAATTACAGAAAACTTGACGAAGAGCAGTGAAAAATAAGAAAATAAATACGGAAAATTTCAGTTTTTAGGTTGCGGTAGTGGTGGTAGTGGATCCCAATCGTCTTTTCTCTTTCACAGATCCGATTTTTTGTACCAGAATACTAAAGTATTATTCACAGAAAAAAAACCAATTTTCTGTACAACTTTAGTATTTATCACCATATCCCAAAACCCAAGAGTATATATTTCCAAAAACCAAACAATTCAATTAATGATGTCCCGAAGTTTTCTTCTTTCCACTCTTCCCAGTTGATCCAGTTGTGTCCACTGCTGATGCTCCAATACTATCTCTCCGCTCCTTTCGGTTTCTTCGATTCTTTTGTTGTCTCAGTTTCAATTTCTCCTGTAACGCCATCGCTTGTTTCTCCCTTTGTAAATTATTTCTTCGTTCAAATTGTTTTCTCGTTTCATCATATTCATCCAATTTCTGTTTGACGTCTCCAAACAGTGCGTCTTTCGATGGAAGGGGAGCCAGTTTGTTAAGAGGAGTCACCACGCTTCCTCCTTGTTTACTCAGATCCAGAATTCCTTGAACATCGGCTTCTTTCAGTTTTTCAACGTCTCGAAGTGCCTGACGTTCCAATTCTTTGAGTTCTCTCTCCAGTTCATCATCTGCCACGTCATCATACTCAATTTTCATGTCGACGTCAAGTTGGGCTTTCGCCTGGAATTAGAATTTCAAGGTTCCGAAAACTTGAAGACCACCTTACCAATTTCTTCATCAACGTCAATCTCTCCTCCCTCAACGCCTTCTGCTTCTTGATCAATTCATTGTTGGCCTGATCCAAATCCTTTCGAATTGTATCATTTATCACCTTATCAAACCACTGGATAAGCGATGCCACTTTTTGTTGAGTTTCTTGGAAAACTTTCAGAGCCTAAAAATCGAAGAAATAGAAAATTATTCCAAAATTCCCGAACCTTTTTCATCTCTGAATCGTTATCCACTGTTCTGAAGGCTTTGTTGACAGTGTCCTCTAGAAGTGCAATCTCTTTTTCAGTTCCATACGGAAAATCCACTTTGTTCAGGTACATGCGACACGATTGGACGTTTTGGGCGGCGGCGACAAAGTTGTTTCGAGCTTCGGCTGCAGCGAAATATCGTCCTCGCTCGTTTCTGAACTTTGAATAATATGGTATAGAATTCTAAGGGTTACTAACTCCTTCTCAATTTTCTGAACATCTTGCCATCTGTTGATTCCAAAAGTCAATTGAGTCAGAGCATGAACCAAAAGGACTCGTCCATTGGCCCATTTGAACATGGCAAGGGAGACTCTTTGCTGCCAATCAACCATGTCGTCTACCTGAGAAATGATGATTTGCGCTACTTGTTTGAATCTCAAGTTTCTCAAGTAAAGCTTTATTCACTCACCTCTCCCTCCAAAACATTCTCTTTCTCTGACGCATAATCCGTCCCAAAAATAGCCTCCAACATCTTATCTTGTTCCTCATATAACCCATTCAAATTATCCGTTTGTTGCTTATAAATCTCTTGAATTTTGACAGCATTATCATAGTTGACTCGAGCAATGTTTAACTCCTTCTGGACGGTTTCCTGTCGAACCATTGCATCCTCATACTCGGATTTCTCTTTCAAGTATCTATCATCCCATTGTCCTTGTTGTTTGAGAAAGTCTCGAACCGATGGTTGCTCAATGTTTTTCAGATCCGTTCTTTCGCGTTCGCTGGAAACGCTCTTTTTACCTTATATGCTCTAATAGAACCTATACGCGCACTTTGAGCTCAACCAATTGGGTTTCAAGATATCAATAAATTTCCCACCAATAAAATACTGGTAATTTTACGAAAAACATTTTATCAGTTGACAGATTTTCGATATCTCTAATAAGAACCGAGATAACTGAGATCAGAGTGAACGCATAGGGTGGGATTCTATTAGAGGAAATACAGTAGGTTGATTGCTCCACAAAATAACTCACGTCTGCTTCTTCAGTTCTTTCAAAACCGCTTCCAATTGCTCCACTGTATTCTTCAAATTGTCTGCATAAATCGTCTGCGACTCGAATTTCTTCAAAACATTCTTCCGTTCCAAACGATTGATGGCCTTCTCGATATTGATATAATCTTGTACAACTCCTTCCGTTAGTTTCAGTTTTCCTCCTTTTGGAACAACTGGGTCAGATGTTGGCACCACTTTGGCTTGTCGTTTTCCTCCTCCCTTTTTTGGAATCTCGTCTTTCGAATCGAGATCATCAGCTGGTTTGCTGCGATCCACGTGTTCGGCCCACTTCTCAACTGGGCCTGGTTTTTCCTGGAAGGGATATCTTTGTGAAACCTCAGAGTCTCGGAGTTTCAGAATCTCAGAATCACAGGTTCTCGGATTAGAATATCAGAATCTTGAAACCTCGGAATTTGAAATTCCACTAACCTTCCGAATATCCTCCACAGCATCCGATCGTTTCGAAGGAGAAGATCCCATGTTTTGAGATCCAAATAAAAGAAAAATAAGCCCAAAGCTCCTTTTTTTTGTTTGTTATGTTCTTTTTCCTGGCTCCATTCACATTTTCCCTTTGCCCGGTCCCTCCTTCTTTTTTTCGGGGGACCATGGAAATGGGAATGTATCCTGGGAGACACTTGGAGACCGCACACAAATATACTTTTTTGACGGCTTCTTTTTTTGAATAGAGGAAAAAATGGACAGCTTCAGACTGAAGCCTTTAGTATTTGGAATATTGAATACGTCATGGGGAAGGAAATTCATATATGAATGGGGAAACGTTTATAGGGGATATGTACACGTTTGGAGTAGACAAGAAACTATTGTGAGACAGGTAATCATCAGAATTCCTGAGTGGGTTCCAAACTTTAAACTTTCAAATCAATGCGAAAATCTCGAAAATCCCCAGATTAGGATACTTTGAGATTCAGAGATTCTACGACTTAAACTCTCATTTTCAATTTGAAAGTATATGCAACCACAGAATTGTAACGAGCAAGGCTTATTGCCAAGGTCAGAGACACAGTGTGTCTCATTGTCTGCGTCTCTCATCTTCTAAACTGATAATCAACAAAAAACAAAATCAGCACAGAGAGCTGAGATAGAATGCCCTGGGAGGCTAGAGACGCAGACGACGAAACTTTCTGACTTCCTAAACTTCGAATGAAAATCTCAACAAGAATGGAAGGGAAAGTCTGGATTTTTTGATTAGCAACAAAATTTCACAGTATTAGGAAAGTTTCGAATTTGAAAGAAAAACAAAATTGTAATGGAAATTTTATTATGTAAACAGAAGTATCATATAGAGAAAAATATTGTTTCGAAATCTTATGATCCATGGAACACAGTCAAAAGTGCAGCCTTCAACATACGAGCCTCATAAGTGACATTGCACTTCACTTTGGATTCGGCAGCTTGCTCGAATAAATCATCCGGGACTGTGTAAATATTTCTTCCCGGAATCTCGCAACTGCTTAAGAATTGAATCACTTCCATCACAACCGAATCTCTCATCACCAAAATGTTCTTGGCCATCATTTCGATCGCAGCCACAATGCATCGTTTTGCATAGTACCATGTGTCTACGCCTAGCTTCTTCTCGGGTGGCTCCAGGGCTTTGACAACACGAGACATTCCGAATTCGAAATTTCCCTGAAAACTGATTATGAATATTGGACACAAAATGATTATTTCTCCCACAAGTTATTTTCGAATTTTCAAGAATTTCGGTCTTCTCCCTCTTTAAAAAGGCAAGACATTTACAAATATTTTTATCATTGTATAACCACAAGTTCTAATTTTTCGTCCTAGTCCTAGCTCTATTCGAAGAATCTAAATCTCATAACTATTCATTCAATCTCATAGCTACGTCATCTGTATCTATTTCTAGCCTTCCAGGAGCACAACCTCCCCTGTACAAGGTATAGTGGATGACGTAAGTCGTGAGATGTCGGCTGCTCTCCCAGACGCCCCTATATAAGTGAACCGCCCGTTTAGTGTGTTTGTTCTTCCGAGAACATACTAAAATTGGAACAATACAGAGAAGATTAGCATGGCCCCTGCGCAAGGATGACACGCAAATTCGTGAAGCGTTCCAAATTTTTTGACTGGTTTTGGGTCAGCTATACAAAGAATATCGCTACAGTTTTCAGAGAACTTTGCATGTTTACAACGACCTTTTTATTTTTAGATTATGTCAAAAACTATCATGTACGCCAAATCTCGAATTTTGTTTCAAATTATTTTTCAATCACTCAAAACAATAATTACCAACAAACAGAATCTAACAGCTCGAATTTGAGCTATTTTTTTACGAAAATTTTAACAGAAACTGACAAATTCCATATCCAGAAATTATCTTCACTTACCTTACTACAATACAAACTTCCAATGACCAAACTGATGATGGAATTATGGAAATATTTCTCATTGGGATTCGACATCAATGCGTTCTCTTCCGCGTTTTCAACAGTTTTCAGAATAGATTCAGCTTCGTCGGTTTGGTTTGTCATGATGTAACAGACCACTAGGTTAGCCAGAACCATAGCAGGGATTTCCAAAATCTGAAAATTTACGTTTCAACTTATTCGGATGGTTTTTCCCGTTTACACTCACTCCTCCGTCATATTTTCTATTCACAATTGGTTCATAGAACAATGCCGCTTCTTTGTATTTCTTCTCCTGCATGAATATGGTATGAGCAACGTTCAATTTCCATGTGTGATGCTCATTACAGTACTCATTAGAAGCTCTAAAATATTCTACAGTAATCCTCTAGATACCTTGGTTTTTCTTGTCACCTGAACAACTTCTCCACGGCCAAGTAATCTCTCTTATCCCAATAATACTTTGCATGCGTCATGAGAACAGGAAGGTACAATTCCAACTCATCCTCATAAGACTCGATAAGATTTCTCATTTCCAACGAGTCGTCTTTATCTGACGTCTTCTGCTCTTTTTTTATTTGAATCTCGACTGCAATCTTTCGAAGTCGAGTCATGCATTCTTTGTCCAGTTTTTCCAATTTTTTGAGACTCTCCTCAGGACTTGTTGGCATGTAAATCAGTGCCTCGAGCAAGTTGAATTGATACTAAAACGCAAAAGTAATTGTCTAGAACTTTTAAAGCCAAAAAACCTCATTCAGACAATAGAAAGATTGATGTGGATTCTCCGCCAAAACATCGGCTGCCAATCCAAAATAGTCGTTTTTGCAATAAAGGAAAAGAAGATTCGCGAACGTTTCTTGAGGGAATGGATTGCTTCCAAGAAGGAATTGGAGTTTAGCGGAGCTGTCTCCAAAATCTGTGTTTGCCGTATTGATAGCCTGAAGAAGGGATGTGTACAGACTACAAACTACAGACTACTTACCAAGTTGTGCAGAGTAACCGGATCGTAATCATGCTCATGCCGTGGTGGCATATCTGTCAGACACTCTTTTGCTGCTTTGACTAAAAACTTTATTTTCAAACTTTGATCTCTCTCGAAATCAAAACTCACAATCCTTGGTTTTGTAATAGATGGCAAATCGTAAATTGAACGCCTCGATCAGTGCCGATTCATGGAGTGTCATTGAATTCTGAACCACATTCACATCGAATCCTTCAGTGACCATTCCGATGTGAAATTCTGGAAAATTTTCTTAGAAACTAAAACAAGAGATGAGCACCTGGATGATCTTTGATTCCTCGATTGATAATTTCAGAAATTAGTTGGAGAGAACTGTTGTAGTCTCCACGACGGTAGTAACAAAGAGCGATCGAGTAGGCAAGACCAGACTGCAAATTCCGATTTTGTTTTGTTTTTTTTAATTTGGAATTCAAATAGCAGAGTTTTGGAACTCTAAAGTTTGATATTGTGAAACGCATTCTTTCTTTCAACAGGAAAAAAAATGTATTTTAAGAATAATATAGTATAATATATTCAGAAAAACGTTCTCAAAATTATTTGATTGAAAAAAAAACTAAATTCCAAACCAGAAAACTCAATATTAGAAATTACAAACTTTATTTATTCTTAAGTTTATACTACCAATATTATTGAATCTCGGAACTTTGCATTTTTGAATTCCGATTCGAAGAAAACAGAGTTGCGGGAATTTCGAAATCTCGTGCCGCTGAAATCTCATAGTTCAGAAGCCTCTGATTGTCAAAAAAGTTTATGAAAAAACGTCTGGAGTTCTAATGTTTTGATATTTGGAAATTCATTTTTGGAATCGAATTATCAAAAGAATAATGTATTCAAAAAAATAATAACAAGAAACAAATCATGATTCTAAAAATGGTTTCATCCAAATCGATTTCAAGATACAAAAATATCACAATTTCTGACATCCTACTAAAAATATGGGATTTCAGAAATATGAAAACACAGAATTTTTTGAATTTCTGGAGTATCAATATTAGAATCTCATAGATTGGAAACTTTCGGTNGTAAAAATAGTCAAATTAAACCTTCCTTGTTTATTTGAAATTCTGTATTCTAGCTTCAAGCATTCCCATCCTACATTTTCATCTACAGTACTCCTACACAAGAGCTGATATTCTTCTTCTAGCTGTCTTCCGTCTCTTTCCAATTTCCCCCGAACTTCCCTTCTCTTTTCTTTCTCCTGTCCCCGCTCCCTCCATTTCTTTCCTTTCCCGATGCTATAATTCAAATGAAAAAATTCGCGCGCCCTTATCGAAAGGCGACTCTGCGTTTCTTACTCTCTCGCTCCTCCCCCTACTCTGTTACTTTTCTTCTTTCAGTCACTATGGTGTCATGATTATTTTGTTTTGTGGTTCTGCCCATTCTCTGGTTTCTATACTTTTTTGTACCTTTAAAAAATCTTCCTAGAAAAAGAACGAAATCCAAAAGCCAAAAAACGATTCTAGAAAATTCCAAATTCTATTTCTGACGTCATCCATATATCAAAACTCATTCCAGAACGGAAATGTTCAGACTTAAAACCCATTCGTTTTTCCCAATTTTGATTATTAGGGCAAGAGAGTTAGAGACCCAGAGAAATGATTTAGCTCGATCATACGATGTGTAATAATGCAGCAACTTTTTCATTTACAATACACACACACGCAAGAAATTTCGAAGGTCGTCGTTCTCACTTCTGAAGCGACTGGCATTCATTTAGAGATAAGATCTAGAAGGTTTTTTGATGATTAGACAAAGATAGGAACGAACCAATTTTCTGCAAAATCTGGGACAGAAATTAAAGACTTTGATTGAGAATTTTCATTTTGAACCTGACTACTTAATAACATACTTGAAAACAGGACCTGCCATAGTTTCGGTGAGGTTCAACATTTTTGGGCCATCTAAATTAGATATGATAGAATACGATTTCTACAAAATGATACAAGTTGGAAAACAGTATCTTGTCTATGAACAAAGTTACAGACTAACCAGGCCAACAAAGACCAGGCCGGCCCGGATCTGCAGCTTTATGGCTTTGAACTTTGTTCATACACAAGCTACAGTTTTTCAAATTTTATTATTTTGTAATACTTGTAGTATGAAATCTATCAGCCAAAATTTAGTATCAGGTATGAAGCAGGTAAGAATTTTATTAAATAGTTTTCCTAAATTTAGCGAAGGGCGAAGTCACAACTAGAAATACCGTATTCTTAAGATTTAAAAAAAAAACAATTGCAACTGTCCCCTCTATTTCCTCATTTCTCCTGCTGTCTTATGACTCACAGATGTTACGTTATGTCTGTCTGCAAGTGCGCTTACTGAATCCATTGCGGCTAATTGTCATTCACAGTTTTTGACACAAATCTGGTACCAAAATCTCTAGAGAATTTAAAAAATTTTTGAGATATGCTTTAGTTAGAAAAACGAGAATCACTTATTTGGGTTGAGATTAGAGCGCAATTTTTATAGTTGTTTTAAAAAAACACACATCTTCAAAAAGTGAATTAGCTTCTATCACTATTCCATAATCTAGATGAAGTATGAAAAATTGTATTCTGGCTAATTTTCAATCTAAACTTGCTACTCGGCTTTCCAAGAGGTTCCAATGGTCCGTCGACAGTCCGTCAACGGTCCGTCCTTCGACTGCCAACTAGCAGTTAGCTGTCATTTAGCAGCAAAGTGTGGTACAGTAATTCAGAATATTCCTTTCCGATGACTTGGGAAAAAATCAGAAATATCTCTTGAGAATCTAAGTTTTCTTATTCGCTTAGAAGTTCCTTATTATTTGAATCTTTTTGAGATCAAATATTTTTGAGGGTATTTTTAGAATCCAAGATTTCTACTATAATAAAAATTGTTTTATTCATAAGCTAAAAGATCCTACAGTAATCATTACATCAGTGTATTTTCTCTTGTTGTCAATTTTTGAACCCTTCTTCCTTCCAAACTATCTGTTTCGTTTCACAATATTTTCAATTTCAGGGTAATATGACACAAATAATCCCTTTGGATTTTCCGGACAATACAGTTTCTCCTGGTCCTGCCGATCTACTTTCAGTCTCAATCCAAGAACCGTTAATCGTGGAAATCCCTTCGAATCCAGAATCACATCTCGGACTATCACAAGAAGAAGAAAAAAACAAAGAAGAAGAAAGGGAAACACGAGACGAAAGCGAGGATGAGGATGATAACAAACTTTTGGATGTGGATATTATTCTAATGGATGCTACAGGTTAGAATCTGGAACCTTCCGAATGTTCTATTTAATTTTGATTCTTACCTGATAACCAGAAAACTCGGTTGCTTGATTAAACTTCTGTAGTGCCTCGGAGTAATTTCCTTCCTTAAATATTTAATCACACTTTCATAAAATTTCGACTAACCTTATAATCAATGCAAGCAGTATTAATAAGAACAGTAGCATCATCTGTTGGTAACTGATCCACAAGGATTCTACAGTTTACCAGATCATCTTCCTGATATTTTATGGCCGCTTCTAATTTGATACTTTCATTTAACAAATCGTCGTCTTGAATCTGAAGTCGCACTTTATCTCTATGTATGGGTCGGCCATAGCTATAGTCAAAATCCACCTACCGTAGTTACTACATTCAACGCTTCAGCTGGCTTGAAAGCGTGGTATAGAGCTTGTGCATGATATAATTTGTATTGTGAGTGATGCGGATAGTTATAGGATAGCTGTGAATAGCAGTCAGCTGCATTTTGGAAGTCTTGGGTGTAGTAGTAGCAGTATCCGAGAAGCGATAGAGCCGCCAGATTCTGAATTTTCAATATATTTCCTTCAAAATTTCCTTCATTATAAGTTCATGTGTCATTCAAATACCCTAATCCTTTTTTTTAGTCTCTCTTTTCCTTCCCAGTATACTGTATTCGGTGAGTGCTCGTCGGCCGATGACGTCACACTTTCTGTGGCGTGCGAACGCGCTCCGTCGCACTCCGTTGAAAAAACAATTTTTTTGCTCATTATCTTTGTTTTTAGCACTGTTTTTCGCTATTTTCGGCTATTTTTAACTAAATTTGAGTGAAGAAAAAAATTTAAATTTTCTAATTCCTATTTTCAGTATTTGTTTTTTTCGTATTAAAATCAAATACGCCTCATTTCCGGTCGAGCAAATGTTTCACTCAATTTTCTTTTTTGTTCTGTCGAGGAAATTTGAATTTCACAGCTCTTTTCGAAGTAAAAACGTTTCAACTTTCCGAAAATTTCCGAATTATTCTATCAAAAATCACCAGAAATCGATACTGCTCTTCCTCCAATTTATGCACGCCTTCTATTTATCTTTCCCTTCTCTTTTTTTTTTCCTTGGCGTAAATACTCACTTTCGGGTTTCTCTCGTGCTGATATTGAAGAATACGAATGGCGTCGTTGAATTTGTGCTCATGTATCTAAAACACTCCAAACTTTCCGACTGTTTTCTCTTTGAAAAAATATGTCAAGTTTAATTAATCGTAAAATTCGAAAACCTTGATTTGCAATTGAAATTCATAAATCTAGCTTTTCTATTCCCATTTATCGTCTCAATTTCTTCGGATTAAAAGTCAATTACCTAATCATCGATCATTTCGACTTACCAATGTGTAAATAGTGCTTGTGAACTCTCCTTCTTTAATATTCAGCATCGCATTCATTTTGAGAATACAAGAGATATGAAATAGGCTAGCAATAAGCAAAGACTTCTATTTTGTTTGGCAACGCGTGCCCATGGAAACCAAGAGAAGCCGAAAATAGTGTGCAAAGGGAGAGGCCGGATGAGGGCTCCTGTGCTTCGAAGAAGGAGAAGGATGGAAGGAAAGGGGTTGAAATTCGAGGGACGGGGAATTTCTCGATGGGTCTGAGTGAACGGAATGAGAAACAAAATTTGGCTCCTGATGATTTCAAAACTTTGAAATTGATAAACAGTTTTAAAGCTGCAAAGCATTAACTAATTCTGACTGATGAACAAGATGCAACGATTGGCTAATTTCGGGTGCTTGTAACCTACTACTGGGCAAGGAATATGTATAGTCTGCCAGTCACTGTCCCTATCCAACATAGCTATATTTCGATGATTTGTTGTATGTCTTCTTTCCCCTCTTGTCACACAACGGGCAAATAATTTCAATTTAGTCAGTGAGAATGGTAGGCCGATCATCTACATGACAATTTTCTTGAGAGAGTTGGACCTACAGTTTTTTTTCACCGTTCGACGTCTAATGTAGCTCATATTTCCAGAAACGATGCACATGCAACATAGTCTTTATAGTCTTGTTTTCACCCTTTGTCTCTAACTACATAAATGACCGATCTCTGATCCTTCATGTGTCACCGTTGTTTCCACCTGGTGAGGGGTACAATGTTCTGCTAGTATTGGGAATGGTCGCACATTGTCATACCTGCTCTTCACATCATCTTTCGGAACACTCTGCAACTTACCATTAGGTTCATTGATTCTCATTAACCATTGATTTTTCCAGGTGGGTCGAACCGTTCACACGCCCCGCCTCTCTCGCTAACGGTTGCCCACATGAACCATTCCATTAGTCTTCATTCTTTGTCCAGTAATATGCACTGGTCTCCAGTTTTTACTCGCTTCTACTTCTTTAAAGTTGTTCTTTCTAATCCCATTCAAACCGCTTCACTATTTTCATGTGAAATCAATATTTAGAAATTTCCATTATCCATATATTCAAAAATCCACAAATTCAAGCAGTTTCTAATTCTCATTTCTTCAAATCCTTCTCTTCTTCCTCCTCTCAGCATGCCATATTACTATTCAATTTCTTCGGCGCCAGAGGACGCGCGCCTCATTTTTTTTTCGCTTCTTTCTCTCTCCAGGCGTCACTCCTTTTCGTTTATTGATTTGTTGCTTGCTCTCCGTTCCTCTAATTTTTAAAACGAACTTAATGGCTCGCTATGTTTTTCCGGATTCGCTATAAACTTTCGAAAGGTTCATAATAATTTTAATAGAAGAAACTAACAGAGGAACCTCAGCACCCTGTGACCCCGATTTTGACGACAATTCCAGGATGTTAAGAGTAGCCTATCTAGACACATCTGAAATGTTTAGAATCTTCTTGCCAGTTTTAGTCAAAATATATCGGTTTCAGTACAAAAAACGTTTTCAGGGCAAGAATAGCGATGTTCAAAGAAGATTTTCTAAAAAAATTTTTTAATGTTTATATACATTTTATCCAATTCTGAGTACATCGAAAAACTTCAATTTTAAAAGTTCAAATCGTCTTCGAAAGTTTTTGCACTGAAAACACGTTTTTTCGTACTGAAAGTATTATAACTTGGCTGAAACTGGCGAGCGGATTCTAAAGTTTTTCAGATGTGTCTAGATAGACTATTCTTAACATATCCTGGAATTGTCGTCAAAATCTGGGTTCACAAGGTGCTGGCTTGTAAGAAAGTAGAACAGTTGAGCTAACCACAATCTTTTTTTGTTGTTCATTCATCTGTTCTGATCCGATTAGACCCCCCCCCCTTCCCCGCTAACTGTCAGACCAGCTGCTAATGTTCTTGGTATTCTAAATCTCTTTGCCTACTTGTGGTGTTTTAGGCTTCCTCTTCCTCTCATCCATCCCATGTCCTTCATTCAAATGCTATTCCTATTCATTTTTTTAATCATTTTTGTCTTCTTCCAGGCGAGATGCCAGCCACTAGAAAACGACAGAACGATGGCAACACACCAGCTCCAAAACGAGTCAGACGTTCTCGAAAAGCAAAGGAGGAAGAGAAGGAGAACATTATCAGAACGTCAGTTAACTCAACTCCCGATGCATCGATCGCTGGAAGCTCTCGTGTCTCACCCATCGCCAGTACTAACAGAAGGAAGACGAAACCTGTCAATCTCTGCAATCTCGAAAAAACACTAACAAATTTTAATAAAGAAGGTAAGAAATATATTAATTTGCTGAATTCACTGTGGTTCTCATTTTCTTTTCTAGATGTAATAAACAAAATGCGCGAAGAAAATATTGACAACCGCATGTTTCTGGTACGAAATGTTGTACGATGGAGAAAACTCGAAGACAAGCATCTCAAATTCAGTCGACGTAGAAAGGTTGCAATCGCAGATGTACTACCTCGACTCCAAGAGAAAATGGTACGTTTCAGAGTTAAATTTTAATAGTTATTTGAAAAATTTCAGGTCAAAGCTAACAAACACTACGATCTGTGCACAGTGAATTTTACCGGTATTAGAAGCTTGGGAACTTTTTCCGAACATCAAACGAGTCAGTTCATATTATTTTAGCAACTAAATTCCAAATTTTAATTATTTTCAGATGCCACCAACGCCGCATCTGTTCAAACATACACAATCATCGTGGACGAAAAGAAACAAGTTCAAGTGTTGAACAACGCATTGTGCACTATCTCCCTCGAAGACAAGTTTCTTTCCGCAGAACTCGATAGAAACTTGAAGAAAATCACATTAACCGCTGAGGAGTTTACAAATGCTCAGAAAATTTACTTCGCGACTGTGGTCACACGAATGGTACTCCTCGGGGAAAAGCGATTTTCTCGAATGGCGACAGTGGCTAATCCGAAAGGCATCAAGGCTCGAGTTCAGCAAAAAGTTGAGCCAGAAAAGTTATCTCTGATGAAAGAAGTCCGTATCGGATGTACTCAAATGTATCAGAAAGACAAATTTAGTAAACTGCATGATGGCGTTATGAGAATACTCTTACGGTAAGTGAAATCAGTTTTGCTTCATTTTGCAAACCGGTCTCTTTTTTCAGTGATGAAGATGATCCGTTTATCTTGAGTCGAAAGATCTTCAAACAAGCGGGCTCTTCGATCGACTGGCTAGTCAATGTCGACAATCTCCACTTTCTCAGTGAAAAGAACAGCACCAATCAAGATGCGCACACTGCGCGACTCATCTTTGAGGTTTCTGCATTTGGGTTTCATGATATCCTCGAAGAAGCCGAAAAATCGAGAGTCCAGAGTCCACGTCGTTCGAGAGCCAACACACTTACAAGGTGAGGTGATAGATGTTGTTTGAAAATTTTCATCGAGCTATTTTTTAGTCCAAAGCGTTGTGTTGTTGACAAGAAGGTGCCATTTTCTGGACATACTGAAAAAGGAGTGTATTATCTGATGGCAGTGAGGAAGGCGGCTCGCTTCCCCTGGTTCCGGGTTCAGAAGACTGAAAATGAATTAGTGCAGCTTGCTCGCAACGGAAAGTGGTTCGAAGAGTCTGTTATCACACACATCGCCGATTCTTGTTTCTATCGAAAGATAGTTCATCGATCTCGTTTGGTTGCTATTCAAGCGATAGCAGCAGAAAGAGAAGCAAAAATCGCAGCGGCCCGAGCAGCTGGATTGATTGTGGATGACACCAGAAACTCAGCCGTAGGAAAACGAAAAGTCTATGGATTGGACTTTGTACAAAGCGAAGGACACGGTCCATTCCTAAAGAATATCTATCGAACGAGGTATTTTTGAAATCTCAAGGTGTTAATTTGATAACCTATTTTTCAGAGACACAACTCACATTCCACCACTCATTCCAAAGAAAGATACAATGGAAGAGGTAGATCTTTCGGAAAGAAACGATCCAGTGTTCTCTCTTGGTAACGCTCCACTATGCAATAGTTTGTCGTTGAGACTTCAAGAGAGGGTAATTTAAAAAACAAAATGATATATTCTGAATTAGTCTTTGAATATCACAATTTTCAGATTCACATCCCTAAAAAGTATGAAAATCACGGAAGCGAAATGTCAGTTGTCAACAAGCCAGCATCTCAAGTACGAAGAGATGTTCATAACACAAAATTGAAAGCTGTCGTTGTCAAGAAATCGATTGTAGTACCGAGAAAGAAGAATCCAGCTCATGTCGTCGGTGCTCTTGATACAGATCTTGATGGACGACCGTTCCCAACGACCTGCGAGATTTTTTTCCCATATGCCAAACATGAAACCTACAACATGTTATTGAAAGAGTGAGTTTAAAAAGAAAAGAGGGAAAGCTATTATCCTAGCCGAAAACTGAAATGGTTCCAAATCTAAAATTCTGCCGAAAACAGACGAAAAACGGACGGACATCAACGAGTAATTTCTTGTTATCATCTGCCAGAAAAAAAATGAAAGTTAAAAACATGTGATAACTACGGTAGTTCGGATGTGGCAGCGGTCACCAGATGTTCCACTTCTCCGATTATTGCATACCAGCATAATAATTCAACTTTTTTTTCAGTTATATTGTATCAATCGGATGGCGTGGTGGATCGTATTCGTCGGAACAAAAATCCCGCCTATTGTCTGGATTCATCGAGCAAAATTATGAAATGATCTTCGAGCACGGCCTGGAAAATGTGTATCTGAAACATCTTCAAGTGGTGGGTATGCATTCATTCAACTGGAAACAAATTCACTACACTGCACCACGCGACAAGTATCTCGATCTTAAGAAGAAGTGGACTGAGCAACATTGTCCATCCACATCTAGAAAAAATTAATCATATTTTCATTGTTATAATCAGTTTCATGTTTTTTCTCTTTTATCTGTTTACCCATTTACTAAACAATCGTCTCATATTGAATAGATTTATTAAGAATTACCCTGACACCCTTTCCCCTCTACGAATATTGAAGATCCTCCCAAATCTAACGAGTCATTTCTTGTCATTATCCTCTGTCCTATCCTGTCCCAATTCTTGAACAATTTTTATCGTTGAAATTGATTAATAAATAAAGTATTTATAGAGATTAACTGGAGAGTTGAATATCAGTTCGAATGTACAAAAACAGATTCCCCAACTACTTATTTTCCCTGTCTCCCCTTTGATCACAATATTTGAATAATCACATTTTGAATATAGATGCACCAACAACAGCAAGTTTCTAGAACACCTATTCCCAGTAAGTTCAAGCTCGCTCTAATGAAATTCCAATAGAGCGCACTTTGCAGATGAAGTACACATTCCGTTCGATAACCAAATTTATGGAACAAAGGATCCGCCGAGATTCGAGAAACAAGCAAAATTCATTTCGGAGTACTGTATCACCTATGACAGGTAATTGTGCAGAAAAATCAGGTCTCACAACAACTACCGTAACCTTGAAATATTTTTATTTTTTCGAATCGATCGTTTTCCTACTTTATTGACTAGGGAAGGCCCCAACTCGGGTGTGGCGATACGGGTGGTGACCTATATCATCTGAAAGCTGACATTTTCCTGATTCCAAATCTGTTTTCAAAAAATGCATTGTTGCGGTAGTTTTCGAGAAAATTAGGAAAATTAATCGAGAAAATTACTTTACCAAGAACATGAAGAAGACTCCAGTGAAGATACTAATCAAGAAGTCCTTGAAAATGTTTCTTGAGAAGACGTGCCAAGCGAGGAGAAGGAAGAAAAACAGGAACGGATGTGCAAGCTATAGAAAAGCGCACAATCGATCAATTTCTGATTAATGTAATTCAAAATATACTTATGACGAATGACGCCCTATTTCTTTCCAGCTTTCAGTTTTCGAAACTCCCGCCAGTTCAGAGTTTCCCCTTCTTCTGGGTCTCTGAAATCAAATGGAGGTTACGGTAGCTGGAAAAATCCTTTTCCAATAGTGTGCACTTGGGTTCAAGCGAGGGGGTCAGAAAGCGCGCCCCAGTAAATTTTTCAAAAATTCTCAATTCGCTGCCGAACTTCGTTGGCTGAGTATCACAGTTTTAAACGATGAGCGAGAATCGCGCGTTCAACCCGTGATT